TTATCTCCAACCTGAACTTCCCCTGTTTCAGTCTGAACCCATCACCCCTTGTCCTATCCCTACAGTCCCTGATGAAGAGCCCCTCTCCAGCATCCTTGCAGCCCCCTTCAGACACTGGAAGCTGCTCTGAGGTCTCCACGCAGCTTCTCTTCTCCAGGCTGAGCAGCCCCAGTGTTCTCAGCCTGGCTCCGTATGGGAGCTGCTCCAGCCCCTGAGCATCCTTGTGGCCTTCTCTGCACTTGCTCCCACAGCTTGGCGTGGAGCTGACAGCATCCTCTGGTTGAATTTCTCCCTCTGGTGCCATCCCAGTCACTACTCACACTGCTGGAGACACCCAGGCCTGTGTTAAGCTTGGGTTCCTTCCTAAAGCATCAAGCCCTTTGAAGTGGGACACATGAAGCTCATGTTTCATCCAGCTAAAAACTAATTCCAGGGGAGTCTCTGACTGTTGGGGCCTCCCAAGCTCCTGCTCTCAGCACAGGGCCTCTCCCATGCTGCATCCCTGGAGTAGTGCTGCTTTTCACAGGGAGCTGTGTGCTGCTCTGCCCTGGGATGTGCCAGCTCCAGATTCCTCTGCTGCCTCCAGCAGTGCCCTGTTCCCTGTCCCTGTGGAGCCTTTGGCAGTCAGATCTGTGCCAAGCAAAATGTTTGGTGCTGCTGAGTAATCTCTCGAAAGCAGCAGCTGCCTCGAGGGCTTTGACAAGTAAATGCCTGCTGCAGAGTGCCTGATGTGTGTGGGGTGCCTGCTTTGGGGTTCAGTGACAGCTCCGTGGCATTCAGGGACCCGCAGGGGTTCCTTGGACCTTTCCGCTGGTCTTGGCAACAAAACCAACCCCTAACAGACAGAACAAGACCTTTAGGCTGTGAAATCCACCTGTGAGATGGGGTTGGGTGAGGTGGTGGTTGTCTCTGCAGCCCTTGGCCATCTTGGTGGAAGTGGCTTCCTGAAGGGCTTTTACACCTTAAAGCATTGTACCTCCAAGTGTGACTTCCTGTGGGATATGGCCAGAGATGTGGAACTCCTCCTGTATTCTGGGTGGAGAAAGATGAGATGTTTTGGGACAATCCAAACCCGTTTTCAGTGTGTTCTCTGGGCAATCCAAGGAGCTGTGTTGCTTCTCATGTTAGACACGGTCCCTTTGGACCAGCCCTCCAACCCTGCCTTAACCTCCTCTCTTATGTTGTTCTGTGTTGCAGACTCACCCCACGCAGACAGCCTTCCTCTCCAGCGTCGACCTGCACACACACTGCTCCTACCAGATGATGTTGCCAGAGTCCATTGCTATCGTGTGTTCTCCAAAATACCAGGAGTAAGTATGGATGTGGGTAGGGAAGGCCTTTCCCTCTGTTGTGCTGACCAACCAAAAGGAGGCATTGAAGGGGTCTTTACCACAGCCCTTCCTCTATCGGATTCCTGGTGGGGGAATAAAGCATCAAGTCATCAAATGAGGCTGGAAGAGCACGTGTGAGTTGGCAGCTCTCTGAGCTGGTTTAGGGGGGGTGTATCTGGGCAATGGGTGCTCACCTGTGCAAGGGGGCTTGGGACAAGGGCCTGTAGGGACAGGGCAAGGGGAATGGCTTGAACCTGCCACAGGGGAGACTGAGCTGAGCTCTTAGGCAGAAGCTCTTCCCTGTGAGGGTGCTGAGGCGCTGGCACAGGGTGCCCAGAGAAGCTGTGGCTGCCCCATCCCTGGCAGTGCTCAAGGCCAGGTTGGACACAGGGGCTTGGAGCAAGCTGCTCCAGTGGAAGGGGTCCCTGCCTGTGTCAGGGGTTGGAGCTGGGTGAGCTTTAAGCTCCCTTCCAACACAAACCATGCTGTGACTCTGGATTCTATGGAAGCAGACTGCTCTGCAGCTGTAGGGCTGTGGAGGGGAGGTTCTGGGCACGTGGGTGTCCTGCAGCATCCTTCTCCCCTCTCACTTGAGATGAGCAGGCTCGAGCGTGCTCCTTGAGACCCAGCAGAGGGGCTTCTCTTTGCAGAGGCTTGAGCCACACGGAGCTTGTGTTTATTTGCTCTAGGACGGGGTTTTTCAAGCTGACAGAGCATGGCCTGGACGAGATCTCTTCCTGCCGGCAGAAGGGATTCCACCCGCACTCCAAAGACCCCCCTCTCTTCACTGTGAGTGACCCCACAGGGCAGCGGGGCTGCAGGACCACGAGTTGAATTGGTGCCTGTGTCTGTGCTGGGCTGTGACCCAGGACAGGGGGGTCAGCCTGGCAGGGAATGGCTCTTCTAGACTGGAGGTGCAGAAGCTTTCGCTCTTGTTAGTGCCCATTGGTGCGATGCAGAGCAGAAACAGGTCGAGGAGGTGGCAAAGGCTTGGGATGTGTATTTGTGTCTTGCTATGGTCACTGTGGCACTGGGCAGGGCAGTGGTTCCTGGTCCATGAGGGCTGTTCTGTGAAGTACCCTGGGTGCAGGTCGTGTCAGGAGGTAGAGGAGGCTCACCTGAGCTGGGTAACATCTGGATAACATCTGCATAACCCCCTGTCCCCTCTTTCTCTTCCCTTCTCTTCCAGACCTGCAATCACGTGTCAGTAGTCGAGAGAGACGTAGTCCTGATGGATCTCCGATAGGCCTCTTGCCTTAAGCATACACAGAAAAGCATCTACCCAGTTTCCAAGCCTAGGGAATTGGTTTTGTCTCCTGTAGCAGATGATTTCCACCGTGTAGTGATCCTTCCCCTTCCTCCCCAATAAACGCGGTGAAATCGGTGCCCTGACCCCAATGGGAGCATGTGAAACCTCAGTGCCTGGCAGCATTGCACTGGTGAAGTGGTGCTGAGGTTCAGGGTGTGGGGAGAAGCTAACTGGGAATTCAGAGATGGGAACTAACACTGAAGCAATTGTTTAATACTCTAATCTATGGCTTAAATAGCTTCTGGGGAGGGGGTTCCTCGTGATTCGCTGCAGACATGAGCTGGGGCAACCTCTTCAAGTGGGACTTGCCCAGATTAACCCTTGCTAAACCCATGTTTTGCCTCTCTGGGTTGCTGTGGTCTCGGTGCAGCTGGCTGGAGTAGGTAAGTCTTTGCTATAGCTTAAGATTAAACCTTCCTAACCGCTCTTACCCCATGCCAGAGCTTATCACTGCTGAGCCAGAGCATGCCCTGCTTGCTGGTACTCAGGTCTTTGCCCAGTGAGGTAGGAAAGGGCCTAAACTCCTTTAGGAACCCCTGTTCCGGGGGGGGAAGGTGCTTTGATGCACAAGCTGCTTCGTTGCAGCAGTGCTGAGGGGGGGCTGGTTACTTTATTCCATTTCCTGGATGAGGGATTTGCTCCAGGCCTTGGTTCAGCTCACTGCTGGTGTTACCATGGAGGAAGCTCTCAGTCTCTTGCTGCCCTGTGAAGGCTCTGCAAGGCCACTACACCTCCGAGGTGGGACTCCAGCAGCTTTTGCCACTTGGATCCTCCAAAATCATCATGGTCAATGGTCCCTACGCTTCTCCAAGCAGTGTGGAGCCTGTCCAAAACCAGCGCTCCGTGACATCGCCGTGATGCGGCACCAGCCGGGGACCTCCCAGTTCCTTTGGTGGGATTCCAAGCTTCCCAGCCTGTCCATGCAGAGCCTCCACCCTCGCTGGAAGGGAAGCAGCAGCACTGAAAGGTGGAAGGCATCTGGCCTCAAAGGGCTGAGCATGATCCGCATCATCTCCACATCCTCTGGCAGGTTGCTCTGATGATCAGCACATGGCCGTGCGGGGAGGAGGAAGAGGCTGGAGTTGCCTTCCCACCTGGCACGCATACATACGTGTTCTGTATGTCACATCCTTGTACTTCCACATCCCAAATCGTTTGGTGTGCAGTTTAACACAGATGGATTGTATTATCCTGGCTGGGTTTCTTTTGCCACTTGGTTTCTTTGAGCTAACTCAGTGGGGCTGGTGTGCCTGAGAGCAGGGGGGAACCCGTTCCTTAAGAGGGGTGTTTATGTGCAGCAACCACCTCCTGCGTGACAAAGTGCAGTTGGCTTTGGGAAGCAGGAGGACTTCAGGACATCTGGGGGAGCTTTCAGCCCTGATCTATTTAAACCACGCTCCGGGGTGTGTGTTGCAGCCTCAGTGTAGGACATTCCTTCATCCCACAGCTCCATGAGGTTCAACAAGGCAAAGGGCCGGGTCCTGCACTTGGGCCACAACAACCCCCTGCAACGCTCCAGGCTTGGGGAATTGTGGCTGGGAACAGCTCATGGGAAAGGAGCTGAGGTGCTGATTGATGGAGCTGAGCATGAGCAGCTTGTGCCCAGGCAGCGTCCAGCATCCTGGCCTGGATCAGCACCAGTGCAGCAGCAGGGCCAGGGCAGGGATTGTGCCCCTGCACTGGGCACTGGTGAGGCTGCACCTCGAACCGTGTGTTCAGCTCTGGGCCCCTCACTACAGGAGAGACACTGAGGGGCTGGAGCGGGGCCAGAGAAGGGAATGGAGCTGGAGCAGGGCCTGGAGCACAAGGTGATGGGGAAGGGCTGAGGGACCTGGGGGGTTCAGATGGAGAAGGGAAGGCTCTAACAGGGGTCAGTGCTGGCCGTGGCAGTGCTGGGGAAGGGTTGGACTTGATGAGCTCAAAGCTCTTTTCCAACCTGGTTGATTCCATGCAGGATGGAGGCTCTGCTCTTCGCCCCCATAGCAGCAGGGGGTGAATCCCATCTGACAAAGCAGCGATTCCTTCTCATTGGTGGTGAGTTTATCTCAGGTCCTCATTCCTGAAGGGCAGAGGCTTGAGCTGACCCCAGCATCGAGCAGAGGGGAGCTGGTGGCAGGGCACTGCCTCCCTCATCAGCCTTCCCATTGACTAAAGGGGTTTCTCTGTTCCTCACATCAGGAGCCAGCTCCTGCCTTTTGAGTCATGTTTTATCACTTAAAGCCACTGGGTCATCCAGTTATGGGTCGGGATGAGCGCTGCTCCGTGTCCCACTAACCCATCCCATCTCCGGCTGCTCTGGATGTGATGGAGACACCTTAAAACAGGGTTGAAGTTGGTAGGAACGGCCCTAACAGCCACCACCCGTTGCAGGAAGGGTTTATCCCCAGGTTCTGTGTGCTGCAGCCAGGGAATGATGCTTATCGGCGCCTCAGGGGTGGGAACAGACCCAAATCCCTGCTCCAGCTCCCAGCGCTGGTTTGTCCATCCGAGGCAGCAGGCGGAGAGGTTTAAAGCGTGAACATTTCCCTTATAGGGAGGTGCTGAGGGCCGGGAGTATTGAAATCCCACACAAAGCAGGGGTTGCCCCCTCCTTTATCCCACATCCATCCAGCTTTGCCGGTGCTGGGGGATTCTTGGCGTTCCTGGGAGCATCCCAGGGCCGTGGCCACCCTCCCGATGCTCCCAAGCACCGGCAGAGCCAGGGGCTGGATTGGCTGCGGTGGCCAAACCTTTCCTTTTTAGGCTGCACGCCTGCTCCTGCCTGCTTGGAGGCTTTGCTGCTGCGGTCCCAGCTCCAAAGTGGCCGCGCCGACGCTTCCCATCCATCCCGAGTGCGGTGCCGAGGGATCCTGCAGGGATCGGGAGCTTGGAGCTGGACCCGCCTCTGCCTGGTAAACAGCAAGGGTGGAAAAGCAGCGGGGCTCTGTGCTGTGGAGCAGGGCTTTGGGTTGCTTTGCACCCATCCAGGGGGGTCTTTGGGCTCACCTCGGGGTCCTGCCACCAGCTCCATGCAGCCCCCAGCGCATCCGTGCTCCCTCCGTATGGAGCCTCCATGCACCAGCCTTGGAGGACCTCCATCCATTCCCATTGTTTCTCCCCCCCCCCATTGGGTTTGGGGTTAATTCTGCCTCTTTTATTTCCCCCAGCATGTCATATATGGCAACCTTTTCCCTGGGTGACCTCATGGTTGGCGGTGGACCAAGGGAACTGAGCTGGGATGGGAGGTGGAGGAAGGTTCCTCAGGACGTGTGATAGGGATGCACCAAGTGTACACCCAGGGGACAAATCCAGCCCCTGTGTGCTGAGGATAACTGGGACCCATGGGGGGGTTGTTGTGAGCTGGTTGTGCTGGGACACGCCATGACCCTGTCTATTGGGGCTGGGGTTGGGGGGGGACACCAGGACTCTCATGTCCCATCTGGTGGCAGTGATGGGACCCTGCAGCTCTTGGTCCTTATCTTGATGTCCCTGCCCTGAGCACAACCCAGACCCTATAGAGCAAAGCAGGAAGCAGCTGGGGCACCCTGTGCCTCAGTTTCTCCACCTGCAACCCAAGCTCCACAGCTCTGGGTGGTGGCTTTGGGGCATCAATCCTGCCTCCCTCCCCCCGTGGTGTCCTGGGTGCTCAGGGAGCATCCTCAGTGCGGGACCATTGCCCTTAAAAAGGCAGACGATGGCTTGGAAGCTGCTGGTTGGCCTCTGGAAAGGCCAAAGCTGCATCTGCAGGGCTGGAGGTGGCTCCATCCATGCTGCATTTGGGACAGGGAACAGGGAACAGCACCCCCATTGCCCCTGGTGGGGATCCAGGCTCATCCTGCATCCAAGATCCTCTTTGGAGGAGGTGAGCATCCGTGATGCAGGCACCCTTGAGCTGAGGATTTGGGGGTCTGGGGGCACCACAAGCCCCAGAATGGGTTCAGAGAGAGAGAAGCCCCCATCCCGAAGATGCTGCACCCTGGGGATAGGGGGCAAACGGAAGCGATGCTCCAACCCAGCGCATCCCCATCACCTCAGTGATGCCAATTCCCCACCCCAGCCCCGCCGTGTCCCCCCCTGACACCCGGATGAGGTTTCTCCACGTTGTCCCCAGGAACCAGCCATGGTCCCACCTCCTCTTTGCCGAGCCCATCACTTATAAGGGCTTGAGTCTCACTTGTTTATCAGCACGGAGCATAAAAGGAGCAGACTCAGGGGTGAGTCCTCGCCTCCCAAGTGCCTCCACATGGCTTTTGTCTTGCAATAATTAACAGTGCCGGGCCCGGCCACCAGCCCAAGGTCAAGTTAATGAAATAAAGCACCTTATATGGCCATAAGGCCAACACACCATCACTGAGCCTATTTAGGGTCTTTGTTTAGGCAGGACCCGCCTCTGAGCCTTCACGTATTTATACCAAAGGCTCATCGGGATTCGGTCCCAGAGGAAAGGAGCCCTCGCCTCTGCGGTGAGTACAGCCCAGCCCCTGCATCCCCTCTGCCTTGCAGGACAAGCTCCCCAGCAGGGTTTTGGGGTGCCCCAGCGTTGATGGGGGGGGGGGGGTTCCCGGTTTGCTTTGCATGGCACAGGGGTGGTGCCAACCCCAGCACGACCCCGCAGCAGGGGGGTTCCGTGGAGGTGGCAGAGCTGGGTTGTGGCCAAAGTGGGTCCTGCTCTGCCAGAATTCCTCATGATTTGGGGTTTTTTTGGTGTTTTTGCCTTATTCCCTCTGGATTTGGGAGTGCATCCAATGGAGGGGGACACCCCTGGGGAAGGGATGGGTTTTTCCCATTTTTGGGAAAGGATGCGAGGGCAGAGCAGCAAGAGGCAGCCACGATGGGAGCAGATGAGAGGGCATTGCCTGCCTTCACCCTGCCCGCTAAGAGGGCACCAGCCAGGCACAGCCACACTGGAGCTCCCATGGGAATGCTGCTGCTGGGCAAGCATGGGCAGGAGCTTTGGTACCTATTTTGGGCACTGGAAAGATGGAGAAGCAACAGCGTGGAGCAGCACGCATGGGGAATGAGCATCACCCTGATCCCACCATCATCGTCCCATTCCCAGCTTCATCCTGCTCTCAGCTTCATCCTGATCCCACCATCATCATCCCACTCCCAGCTTCATCCTGCTCTCTGCTTCACCCTGCTCCCAGCACCACCCTGGTCCCACCATCATCATCCCACACCCAGCTTCATCCTGCTCTCAGCACCACCCTGGTCCCGCCATCATCATTCTATTCCCAGCTTCATCCTGATCCTACCATCATCATCCCCCTCCCAGCTACACCACACTCGCAGCATCATCATCCCATTCCCAGCTGCATCCTGCTCTCAGCATCCTCAAGCCAGGGCTGGACCCAGCGGCTGCCCCTCTCCGTGGCCACCAGATGATTTTGGGGACCTCCACATCCCCACGGCCTCCATCCCTCCCAACACCCAAACCCGGACACGGCGCCACGTTGCCCCCCTTGTCCCCCCCAACCCTTTAACCCTTTAACCCCCACTTTAAGGTGTTTCCCCCCCTCTTGCCCCAGCTTTTCCCCCCAGGTCCCCCCTGACCACCAGCAGCTCCCGGCCCCACCATGTGCGAGGAGGAAACAACCGCCCTGGTCTGCGACAACGGCTCCGGCCTCTGCAAAGCCGGGTTCGCCGGTGACGATGCCCCTCGCGCCGTCTTCCCCTCCATCGTGGGGCGGCCCCGGCACCAGGTTGGTACCCGAGGAGGGGAACAGCAGCCCCCACCCTGCTTTAATCAATGCCATTAAGCTAATGAGGGCGTCTCTTGCTGGCATTAGGGTGTCATGGTGGGCATGGGGCAGAAAGACAGCTACGTAGGCGATGAGGCGCAGAGCAAGAGGGGTATCCTCACGCTCAAGTACCCCATTGAGCACGGCATCATCACCAACTGGGATGACATGGAGAAGGTGAGACCCGGACCAGGATGGAGAGGGGGGGACCCGGCCCCGGCCCCAGCTGTGGTTTGGGGTAAGACCCCCCCAATTCTTTGCCTGCCTTCAGATCTGGCACCATTCCTTCTACAATGAGCTGCGCGTGGCCCCCGAGGAGCACCCGACCCTGCTCACTGAGGCACCCCTCAACCCCAAGGCCAACCGGGAGAAGATGACCCAGGTGAGGGGCTGCTGAGCCACAGGCATGGGGATGGATGCTCTGGAACCATGGGATTTAGGGGTTTAGGGAGCCAGGAGGGGCTGGCACGGAGCAGAGGAGCCAGTGGTGAGGGATGAGAGGAATGAAGGCACAAGTGGTGCGCTCCCGTGTTCACATGGACCCACTGCAATGATCCACCTACTTTTCCATTCAATGCAATGATCTTTGTGGTTTCCCAAGCATGGGTTGGGGTGGGATGCGGTGGGGACCCCCCAAGCTCCCCCCTAATCCATTGTTGCCATTATCCCTCCTCCCAGATCATGTTTGAAACCTTCAATGTCCCCGCCATGTACGTCGCCATCCAAGCCGTCCTCTCCCTTTACGCCTCCGGCCGCACGACCGGTGAGTAGGGCACCAGCATCCCAAGGACCATCCGTGATGGGGAAGGAACCAAGCTCCAAGCCTCTTCCCTCACATTCCCACCCTTCCCAGGCATCGTCCTCGACTCCGGGGACGGCGTCACCCACAACGTGCCCATCTATGAGGGCTACGCGCTGCCCCACGCCATCATGCGCCTTGACTTGGCCGGCCGCGACCTCACCGACTACCTCATGAAGATCCTCACCGAGAGGGGCTACTCCTTCGTCACCACCGGTACGGGGCCGGGAGCGGGGTTTGGAAGGGACGGGGGGACCCCAAACGGCCCCGGGTTGAGCCCGTTCCCCATCGCCTCCCGCAGCCGAGAGGGAAATCGTGCGCGACATCAAGGAGAAGCTCTGCTACGTGGCCCTTGACTTCGAGAACGAGATGGCCACGGCTGCCTCCTCCTCCTCGCTGGAGAAGAGCTACGAGCTCCCCGATGGGCAGGTCATCACCATCGGCAACGAGCGCTTCCGCTGCCCTGAGACCCTGTTCCAACCCTCCTTCATCGGTGAGCGCGCCCCGAGTTGTCCTGCGGTCCCCTAGGACACCGAGGTGTTGGTGCCGCCAGTGGCATGGTGGTGCTTCCAACCCCATGGTGATGCCCTTGGTCCCATGCTGGTGCCTCCAACTCCATGGTGATGCCCTTGGTCCCATGCTGGTGCCTCCGGCCCCATGTTGGTGCTTCCAACCCCATGGTGATGCCCTTGGTCCCATGTTGGTGCTTCCAACCCCATGGTAATGACCTTGGCCCCATTTTGGTGCCTCCGACCCCATTTTGGTGCCTCCGACCCCATGGTGGTGCCTCTGACCCCATGGTGGTGCCCTTGGTCCCATGTTGGTGCCTCTGGCCCCATGTTGGTGCTTCCAACCCCATGGTGATGACCTTGGCCTCATGTTGGTGCCTCCGGCCCATGTTGGTGCTTCCAAACCCATGGTGATGCTCTTGGCCCCATATTGATGCCTCCGACCTCACGGTGATGCCTTTATCCCTATGGTGATGCTTCCAAGCCCCTGTTGATGCCTTTAGCCCCATGCTGGTGCCTCCAGTGTTGTGTTGGTGCTCCTGACCACATCCCCACCACCCCACCAGCCAGCAACCACCTCCCATAGGTGCACCACAGCAGCATTCAGGCCTCTCCCAAGTGCTTTGCACCTCAAATTGAGGGGGTGCAAACCTGTTCTGTGGGGCATAGCCGGAGGTGAGGGTGCTGACAGCCCCCTTGCCCTCCAGGCATGGAGTCAGCCGGCATCCACGAGACCACCTACAACTCCATCATGAAGTGCGACATCGACATCCGCAAGGATCTCTACGCCAACAACGTCTTGTCCGGCGGCACCACCATGTACCCCGGCATCGCCGACCGCATGCAGAAGGAGATCACGGCGCTGGCTCCCAGCACCATGAAGATCAAAGTAGGTGATGGTGATGATGGTGATGGGGAGCCACATGGCCACCACCACCCCAGATCATCTCCTAGTGCAGGTTTGGGGGTGGGTTTACCTTATACTGGGTCATGTCCCCACAGATCATCGCCCCGCCGGAGCGCAAGTACTCGGTGTGGATCGGCGGCTCCATCCTGGCGTCCCTCTCCACCTTCCAGCAGATGTGGATCAGCAAACCCGAGTACGACGAGGCCGGACCCTCCATCGTCCACCGAAAATGCTTCTAAGCCCCCTCCTCACCCCATGGTGGCCCCAACCGCCTGGCTGGGGCCCCCTGCTCCTCCTCGGTCCCCACTGCTCCTCCCCACCGCGCATTAAAGCCTTTTCTCCAGGTTCTGGCTCTTTTGTGGGAGGTTTTGGGGTGTTGGGGGCAGTCAGGGGGATGAGGGTAATGGGGGGAGAGCTGGGGGACCCCCTACCTCATCCCATAGCGGTGCCCCTTATGTTATGCTGATGCCCTCAAAGCTCTCTTGATGCCCTCAACCTCATGTTGATGCTTCCAACCCCATGTCAATGGCCTTGGCCTCATGTTGGTGCCTTCAATGTCACACTGATGCCCTCAGCCCTGTGTTGATAGCATCCCATGCTGATGCAGCTGACCCCAACTCCAGGCTGATGCCTCCAACCATGTGTTAATGCCCTTGACCTCATGGTAGTGTCCCCAACCCTGTGCCAACGCCCTTGGGGACCTAAACCCCACTTTTGTGTCCCCAACCCTACGTTTATGCCTTTGACTCCGTGTTAGTCACTTTGGCACCGATGCCCTCAACCCCATATTGATAAACCCCACCTCGTATTGATGCCCTTGACCTCATGATGATGTCCTCAATGTCACACTGGTGCCTTAACCCCGTATTGATGCCCCTTACCCTATGCCAATGCAGCAGACCCCAAACCCCAGGGTGATGCCTCCAACCATGTGTCAATGCCCTTGATCCCATCTTACTGACCCCAATCCCATTTTCATGTCCCAAACCTTATGTTGACGCCCCCAACCCCATGTTGATCCCTCCAACCCCATATAGATGCTCTCAACCCCATGTTGATGCCTCCAACCCCATACCGATGCCCTTGACCTCATGGTGGTGCCCCCAACATCACGCTGATGACCTTCACCCTCGAATACACGCAGTGGGCAGGGTCTAATTTGCTCCTCCTTCTCCCCCCCCCGCCTTTCCCGCGCGGCGACGTCAGGGCGCGCCAACGCGCGCCGCTCGTCACCACCTCATTAGCATATGACGCGGGAAGGCGGAAGCGGTGGCGGGATGGGGCGGTGCGGGTCCGCCCTGCGCCTGGCCCTGGAAGGGAACATCGGTAGCGGGATGGGGGGGACACGACACACAACGGGGGTCCCCCGGGGTAACGAGGTGGCTTTTGGGGTGATGGGGGGGTCCATGGGGGAGAGCTTTGGGGGGGGCGGTGCGGGATTGCAGGGCTGTTGCGCAGCCTGAAACCTCTGCGGGTCTGATTGAACGTCGGTGATTCACTGTTATTGCGGGGCGCTGGGGGCACCCCAAACCCCGCGTTACTGCATGGCAGGAGCAGAGCGGGGGACCCCCCCTCACCCTGCGCCCCTATCCCCATAGCCGTGGGGAAATCGACTTTCCTGAAGCTGCTGGGTGCCACCTTCCCCGAGTGGCACTTGGTGACCGAACCGGTGGCCCAGTGGCAGAAGGTGCCAGCCCGCGGCACGGAGCAGGTAACGGGACCAGTACCGGCTGCATGGTGGCACCGATGGGCACCGCGCCGTGGTGGGACCATCTCATCACTAAAGCTCTTTCTCTTACAGGCAGCCGTGGGCTCCACCAACCTTCTGCAGATGATGTACCAGGAGCCAGCCCGATGGTCCTACACCTTCCAGACCTTCTCCTTCCTGAGCCGGCTGAAGGCGATGCTGGAGCCGCTGGATGAGCCCGAGACCCCCAGCCCTGTGCAGGTCTTTGAGCGCTCCATCTACAGCGACAGGTACCCGAACTGAAGCAGGAAAGAAGAGGGATGAAGGGATCGAAAGAAGCAGGTTGAAGGAGGTGATCCTGCCCCTCTGTTCTTGTGAGACCCCACTTGCAGCACTGTGTGCAGTTCTGGTGCCCTCAGCGTAAGGACATGGAGCTGTTGGAGCAAGCACAGAGGAGGCCACGAGGATGCTCAGGGGCTGGAGCAGCTCCTGTATGGAGCCAGGCTGAGAACATTGGGGCTGGAGAAGAGAAGCTGCGTGGAGACCTCAGAGCAGCTTCCAGTGTCTGAAGGGGGCTACAAGGATGCTGGAGAGGGGCTCTTCATCAGGGACTGTAGGGATAGGACAAGGGGTGAAACAGGGGAAGTTCAGGTTGGAGATAAGGCAGAAGCTCTTCCCTGTGAGGGTGCTGAGGCGCTGGCACAGGGTGCCCAGAGAAGCTGTGGCTGCCCCATCCCTGGCAGTGTTAAAGGCCAGGTTGGACACAGGGGCTTGGAGCAAGCTGCTCCAGTGGAAGGGGTCCCTGCCTGTGGCTTTAAGGTCCCTTTGAACCCAAACCGTTCTGTGATGAAGGTGTTGCCTGTGGAGCTCTCCCGCTGCCCTGGCCCCTCTCTCCATCCCATCCCAGGTACGTCTTTGCCAAGAACCTCTCCGAGGCCGGGCACCTGCAGCCCTTGGAATGGGCCATTTACCAGGACTGGCACAGCTTCCTGCTGCAGCAGCTCGGGCCCCGCACCGTGCTCCATGGGCTGCTGTACCTGCGGGCGACACCGCAGGTGGGTGCGGCGAGACCCCGCATCGAGTGGGATTGGGATGAGGCTCCACTGAGCCTGTGAGCGCTTGGAATTGCCAAAGTGTTGGGGTTTAACCATAAACGGCAGCTCTGTTCCCATGGGGATGTCACTGGGGTTTGGCTATGATCCTGGAGTGGATTTTGGGGAGGGAGGGCTGCAGCATCACCCCGGGATGCTTGATGACTGGCACGGGGCTCGCATGGGATCCCTCGCATGGGGCTGCTTTTCACACCCCATCTCTCCCATTCACCTCACATCTCCTCCACATCCCATTCTCATCCCGTCTCTCCCATTCACCTCACATCTCCGTATCCTGTTCACTCCCCATCTCTCCTGTTTACTTTCCACCTCTCCCATTCACTTCCCTTCTCCTGTGCATCCCGCTCACCCCTCATCTTTCCCTTTCACCTCCCACGTCTCCCATTCACCTCCCATCTCCTCCACATCCCATTCACGCCCCCATCCTTTCCCATTCACTTCCCACCTCTCCCACTCACCTACCATCTCCTTTGCATTCCATTCATCTCCTGTCTCCCTCATTGATCTCCTGTCTCCTCCTCATCCCATTCACTTCCCATCTCCCCCATTCACATCCCGTTCCCCTCTCTCCTCCGGTGTGGTTCAGACATGCCTGGAGCGGCTGCGGCGCCGGGCGAGGAGCGAGGAGCAGGGCATCCAGCTGGCATACCTGCAGCAGCTCCATGCCCAGCACGAGCAGTGGCTGGTGGAGAAGAGCACGGAGTGAGTCCGAGCCCATCCCGTGGTGCTGCCCCCGGCACGTGGACCGGAGCTGGGGTTCATCTGGCGTTGATCTGGTTTATTCCCTTCCTCAGGGTCCACTTTGCAGACATGAAGCACGCGCCTGTCCTGGTGCTGGATGTGGAGAAGGACTTCGAGCACGATGCGGCCGCACAGGGTGGCCTCATGGCACAGGTGGGAATGGCCGAGGCAGCATCCCAGGATGGTGGGATTCTCCAGGCTTCCAGCTCACCTTCATCTTGCCATGGGAAAAATCATTTGGACACCCTTGGTGCAGGCTGGTTTAAACCCCAGCCATCCCAGTGCCATCCCAGCCACATCCCAGTGCCATCTCGGTGACATCCTAATGCCATCCCAGCCACATCCCTGTGACATCCCAATGCCATCCCAATGCCATCCCAATGCCATCCCAGTGCCATCCCAGCCACATCCTGGTGCTGTCCCAGTGCCATCCCAGCCACATCCCAGGGCTGTCCAGTGCCATTCCAGTCACATCCTGATGCCATCCCAGCCACATCCAGATGCCATCCTAGTGCTATCCCAGTGCCACCCTAGCCACATCCTGATGCCATCCCAGTCCCATCCCCATCCCGGTGCCACAGTCAGCTTCTCTTGCAGGTGAAGGCTTTTGTGACCGTGCTGCAAGCCAAAGCTTTGCCATCACATCCTGACCCGCACTGAGCAGCAGCAGCATCATTCCTGCCCTCTGGTACCCACCTCGAGCCAGCTCCGGCCGAAGATCCCAAAGGACAAGGGCCAAATCCTGCTCCCCAGCTGTCCCCTTTGGTCCTTATTATCCGGGGTGTATTTAAGGCACTGGCAGCACGGGATGGTTTCAGGGTGAATGATGAGCTTTGGGGACCAGGTCGTGACCATGACCCCCTCCCCATCTATAGGGATTCCCTATATGGATGCTGGAGCCAGGATGCTCCATAAGGTGGCTCAGTTCCAATGGGAAATCATCGTGGCTCACGTTTAGCTCACACCAGCCCCTGTATTTGGTTCTTTTGTAGATATTTTATCCCTTTAAATTAAAATCTAAGCTCTTCTGCACCTTGAGCTGCTGGTGGGGAGCGTGGGGCCGGGGGGAGCTGCAGTGGGTGCTGCCCCATGGTGGGAGGACACATCGTACCTCCACTTTTGGGGTGTTTCTGTGGCACTGGGGGTGTGGGTCAGGCTGGGGTTGGGTTTGAAGTGGGTTTTGCTGGGAAGGGGAGGGTTTGGCTCTTTAGGGTGTCCCCCCCCCCCATCCAGCCACCCTACAACAACACCCAGTGCAGCCCACATCAACCACACCCCCAACTCAGCCCCCCAAACCCTCCAACACCACCCAGTGCCCCCCCCACAACCAACCACCCTACAACAACCACTCCCTCCCTAACTCACACCCCCACCCCCCATCGCTTTCCCTCTTACCCCCCAACCCCCCCCCACCCCATAACCCCATAGGGTTTAGGGGTATCCCCCCCCAGTCTCACTGCAAAGCAATGGGGGGGGTTCACAGGGCGCTGGCCTTCAGCCCCCCCGGCCGGCGCTGGGACCCCCGAGCGAGCGCCTGTAGAACAAAGGAAGCAGCAGCAGCAGCAGCAGCAACAACGTGCAGCTCCGCTGCAACACCCGCTCGGGGTGGAGGGGGGAAAGCTACAACCGCATTTCAACCCCTCTTCTCCCTATCCCAACATCCCACCCTCCGCTGTGCATGCACGTAGCTCCGGCTCGAACCCCCCCGGCCCCCTGTTTCCGAGGGGGTGCTGGACCCCTTTATTCCGGTAATGCTCTTTTTCTGTTTCATTTTTTGGGGGGGGGGATGTTGGAAAGTTGTTGGTGTGCGGCTGAAGTTGTGCGGCGCAGGGGTGAAGTTGTGCGAAGCTTGCGTGGATTTCAGGGGAAAAGCAAGGACAAAATGGGGTTGGGAATAAAAAAGGAGGTGGGAATAACGGGGTGGGGGGGGGCAGCACTTTGTTTTGGTGGGATTGGAGTGGGAAGGAGGAGTGGGGAGTCAATGGAAACAGTGTGGGTGCCCCACGTCACCCGGCTCCGGGCATCCGCTCCTTCTGCCCACCCGGATCAGGCACCGCTTCCCTGCGCTGCCCCGGAGCAGGGGGGAGCCCCAAGATGTGACTTGAGGCACAGGGAGAGGTGCAAAGGGCTTCTCTGGGAGGTGAGTGCCCTGTCCCCCCCAAAAACCCACCCGTGTCCCCACTGCCTTTATGTCACCTTTATGGGGTGATTCGTGGCCTCTTTGCGGTGGTGGTAGCGTCACCGGTACTTGGAGGGGGGGGGCTCCTGGGGAAGCCCCTTGGTTGGTGGATGGGTTCATCTTGTCTAGGGTATTTCCATGGGAAATGGGGCTTTTGGTGCCTTAAAGGCCACTTCGATGCTTTAAGCCCCCCCCTCAAATCTCAGCTGGTACATGGGGTGTCCTTAAAACACTGTTGCAGTGGGGACACATAGCATAAACCCCCCCTTCATATTGAAGTACTTGATGTAAGAAGGTAAAACACTGTGAAATCCAGCTGCCATCGGGGGGGGGGGTTCCCAAAAAGAAAGAGGTGGCAGGAAGGGGGCACATGGGGAGGTCAGAGCTGTGCCCAAGCTAACAAGCGGTGTCATTTTCATCCCCAGTGCTTTCCTTCGGCACTTAACTGGTTTTACTGGCCGTGGTGGTTGTAACTGGGGTTTCAGTATCATATTCCAGCAGGCAGAAGGATGGCTCCGGATATGGGGGTCTCCACATGGAGAGGTGGGGAAGGTGAAGCATTTCCTTGGGGGTTACTTTTAGGATTTTGCCCCCCAAAAACTGCTGTTCTTGTTCTGTTTTGTGGTGCTGGGGGGGGTATGAGTGGCTGCCTTGCGCCTCCTGAGCTGTATCGGGCAGGTTTTGCCCTTGGGATGGGTGGTGGGATGATGGGATGGAGACGTGGGGACATGGGGACAGAGGGCTTGGCTGGTGCTTGGCACAGGGAAGGGCAGGGGGAAAGGACTTTGGCCTTGGCAAAGCACCGGTGCAGTGGTGGAGACTGGAGCCCCAGCACTTGTCCGGGTGAGCTAAAGATGATTTATCAGGATGCTGCCGCAGCTGGGGTCAGCAGCAGTGGGATTCCTTTGGGAAGCCAGATCCCTGCTCCGGGCTGGGCCTGGTAGCACCAGGTATGCCGCGGTTCCCACGTCCCGGCGCCTTTCCCGGGGTGGTTTGGCAGCCAAAGCCCCATTCCCAGCACCCGTTCCGCCAGTTCATCCGGCTTGGCTGGGCCTGGGAATGCCGGTGTCTCCCCTTGAACCTCCATCGCTGGAGCCGCGCTTGTGCCGTCTCTCTTGGGGTTTGATGCATCTCCATCCATGAGGGATTTGGGAGAGGAGGAGGAGAAGGGAGGATGCCTGAGGTTGAGGTTGAGGTTTCACTTTGCTCCCTGTCCCATGGCACTGCCGGACCATCTCCTGTCCTCTCCGGTTGACTTTCCTTTGCCATTTCCATAACTAATCAACGTCTTGGGAACTCACTGCAGCTGTGAGGATATACATGCAAGGGAATACATATGTATATATTTACTCACACATATAGATATGTGAGTAAATATATGGCAAAGCCAGGAAGCCGCTGGTTTCCAACAAGAGCCACCCAAACCTCCCAGCAACAACGGGAGCTGGTGGAAGGAATGATGCTCTAAGCCCTATTCCCAGCTTCAAATGGGGCAAACCTTCAATAAACCCCACGGGAAGCTCCATTCCCAGCAGGAATGGTGATACCGGGCCCATGAAAGCCTTTTGCTGGGTGGTGGTGGGATGTAGCATGGCTCAAGGTGTTCCCAGAGTTGGGAAATGCAAGCCTCTAACAGAATTTAGGCTGTTTCCATGCCAAACACTGGAAATTAGGGATAATTTAAAGCATTTAATACAAAGCTACTAAATTTACCCATCTTGAGGGGGTTCCCTGGTGGCTCGGGTTGGGATGTTCTTGTCTCCAGCCCCAAACTGGGTCCGGCATCTCCAAAGTAGCACCAGGGGGACGGATGGGATGAAGGAGCAGGCGGGATGCATCCTGGTGTCACCTGAAGGGATGCGACCCAGGATTCATCGGAGCACCGCTGCTCCCGCTCCTCCGCTGGGATGCTAACAGCTAAATGATGCGGGAGCAGATCACCAGGATGCGCTGCTCTATCCGGCCGGAGGAGGAGGAGGAGGAGGATGGGAGGAAGGAGGTGTCTGCCTTAATTAAATCCCCGCCGTGTCCTTTGCAGCAACCTGTTGTGTGCCGGGCTTGGCCAAGCGGGATTGCCGCGCGGTGCCGGACCAGTTCCCAGCACCAGTTTACCCTATGATTCCCATGGGAGTCGTGTTGCTTGGAGCAAAGGTCGGATCTGGCAGGCTCCGGCAATAGGGATCGTGGATTGGTCTTTTCGGGAATATCCCAGGGATGTTGGGTCCGTGGTTGCGTTTCCCACCTGGGCTCGGGTTTATCCATGCCGCTCGGCATCACGCGGGCCTAGGGGTCTTTGGATCGCTCCTTCTGCCACAAATCCCATGGGAAAACAGTTTTCAATGAGTTATTCCCGGGAAACCTTTGTGACTTTTGGAGTTTGTCGATGTTTTGCCGACAATTCAGGCAGGAATAGGCTTGGAAAACTCCAAACCCCTAAGACATGGATGGGGAAGGATTGAGGGGGGGAATTCACTTTCCCTCTCCCGTTTTTCCTCCCCCTTGTCTCCAAATACATATGTGCACCATATCCGGGACCTGCCAGCTCTGGACAGAGCTTGGAAAAGCTGGAGCTGATCCCACCAGGGCTGTTTGAAAGCCTCCAGCTCTGGCTTAACCCTTTCGCTGGCCCATTCCCTATGGGAAAACACCCCTTTATCCCCCCCTTTCCTCATCGGGGTCTGGATTTGGGGGGGGCGGGGGGGGGGATTTAAGCATCGCAAAGCTGCAATATCCCCTCATTAATAACATCCCCTAATTAATAAGTAGGAATAATAATTAATAACAGTAGGAAAAACTGGGGGGGGGGCGTTATTTTAGCTCCCCCCCCCGGCTGATTTAAGGGGTGTTGCTGCTCCCATTCACCACCATAGGCCTCTGCCTCAGTTTCCCTATTTGGGGGGGGGGGCACAACCGAGGTTTGGGGGTCCCGTTCCCCACATTTAATGGTGTGGAGGAGGCGCTTCTGAGCCCCCCCCCCCCTTTCTCCTCAGCGGCCGGGCGGTGTCGCCGCTGCGTGTAGGGTTGGGGGGGGGGGGGAAGAGGAGGAGGAGGAGGAGGAAAGGAGGAGGAAGGAGGAGGAAAGAGAAGGAAGGAGGAGGAGGAGGAGAGGGGGGGGAAGAAGAGATGCGGCGGTCACCCCCCCCCCCGCCTGCAGCAGGGCGGCGGTGAGGGAGCGCGGAGCAGGGAGACAAGATGGCTTCCTCCTGAGGGCCGGGGCCGTGCGGGGCCCGGCGGGGGCTGGCGGGGCAGCGCGGGGGGGGAGCGGCGAGGTGAGTAACCCCCCTCCATAATAAAACCCCCTCCTTCCGCACCCCTTTGCACCCCTTATTCCCTTCCCGAACCCCGCACCCTCCCTCGATGCATCCCCCCTCCTCGTCCCTCGTCCATGGCCGTGTGTGCTGTGGGGCTGAGGTAGGGGGGGTGCAGCCCCGGTGCGTGCTGTGGGGCTGTGTGTGGGGGTGCAGCCATGGGTCCGTCCCCGTCCCCCCCGTTAACCCCGCGGGGTTGTCGCGGTTGCGGGTGGGGAAGCGGCGGCAGCGCGGCCCGGCCGGGAGGACAAAGCGGTGGGGCGTGGGGGGGGGCGGCATGCACGGAGCGAACGGGCCCCGCAAGCGTTTTGGGGTGATTTTGACTGTTTTGCCTTGTTTGATCCCGTTTTTTACCCTCCAGACGCTAGCTGGAGGGGGGGGGTGGTGTGTAGATGGGGATTGGAAGGGGGGGGGTAATTATCGCCCCCCCAATCTTTATTACCCCAATTGCTCTCCATCGTTTTATTATCATCATTATTATATTGTTAATTATGATTTAATTAACCCTCCACCCCCCGAATGTGCTGAGCTCAGAGGTAACGATGATGCTAACAAGGGCGATGAGGCTCCCCCCCGGCGTGACGTCACGGTGACGTCACGCGGCCGCTGTCACCCCCTTTTGCCGGTGATGAGGACACGGGGTCCGGTCGGGATGAGGCTCCCCCCCTGCTTGTCATCGCATTGGGAATAACGGGAATAGGATGGAGTGGGGATGAAAGGTGGCTTGTTCCCCAATGGTGGTGGTGGTGGGGGTCTCATTCACCCTCCGAGGTGGTGATTTGGGTTATCCCGGTGCTGGGAATGTCGTGGTTTGGTGGCGGATGGGATCAAACGTGGTGCCGGTGTCACCGGAGGACATCGCCGCGGTGCCGAAACGCCGCCCCTGAAGTTTTGAGCGATTTCGGCACCACGTGCTTTCGAGGCATGGGGATGCTTCAGATCCCGCACCCGGGATGCGCCCGCCAACGCCGGAGCTGCCTCCGGATCCGCGGGTGCTGTGGGAAAGACCCCGGCGCAGGTGCCGGGTACCACGGGCTGCGGGGATGAGGTTGCATCATGCTGGGGAGGGATGGGAGCGCCGGAGCAGAGTCCTCGTAGTTGTTACCCCATAAACCCCGCTCGTGGCCTTTGGCACCTCGTTAGCGCTGATGAGGTTTGTTTTGCAGACCTGGGCTTTTTATGGCAGGTAATTCAGGGGAGAGGTGGATCTGGTGGGACCTTGAAAGGCAGAATGTCCCCCTTCCACTTTGTGGCCTTTCTTGGTGGGGCTTTGCCAGCCACAACTTGGGGCCAAGGGACAGTGACACGGTGATGCGGTGTGGTTGTGCTGAGGGTCTGTCCCAGGGGGTCCCCAGTGAGCTCTCCCCACAGCACTGGGGTCCCCAGTCCCCTCTTGCATGTGTTGGTGTACCCTGTCCCCATGGTATCAGGGTCCTTGGTCCCCTGCCCACATGTGTTGGGGTCCCTGGTTCCCATCACTGTGGCATTGTGCATGTGTTGAGGTCCCTGTCCCCAGGCCATTGGGATATTTGGATTCCTGCCTGCATGTGCCAGGTCCCTGTCCTGACAACACGAAGATCCCTGGACCCCTGCCCCTGTGTGCTGGGGTTCCTTGTTCCCATCCATATGGCATTGGGGTCCTCAGTCCCCTGACTGTGTGTGTACCAAGGTTCCCTGTGGCAATTGTGTGTCCCTGTCCCTGTAACATCCTGTCCTACATGTGCCGGAGTTCCCCAGTTCCCATCTCCACTGCATCAGTGTCCTTAGTCCCCTGCTCGTGTGCGCCAGTGTCCCCATCCCTATGGCAGTGGTGTCCCCTGTGTGTGCATGCTGGGCTCCCTTGTTCTTGTCCCTGTGCAATGGGGTGCTCAGTCCCTCACCTGCATGTGCCGGCATCCCTGATTCCTGTACTTACGCCAATGGGATCCCCATTCCCTGTCCCTTCCCCACCATGTGCCAGGATCCCCACCATGCTCCTCGCTCCACGTGCATGCAGGGAGCCTTTCTAATGGGATGGTGGCAAAAGGGTCAGTGCCAAATCCCACTGTCCTTGTCTCCTTGCTGTCCCCATCGCGGGTTGGGATGCGGGCTGGGATGAGAGTGATGCACCCCAAACCCAGCCCTCCTGGGGACCGTTTTCCCCTCTCCCCTCCTCTGCCAGCTATTTAATCTGGCTGCTTTGAGCTCAGTGCGAGGGTGCCAGACCGTTTTTGAGGATGAAAGAGCTTTTTTTTATATCCCCCTCCCTGGGCCGGCATCCAAAGGGAGATGAAATGAAACGGGAAGAGGCTGGAGGTGAAACAGCTGCGATCAGCTCCATCCCTGCTCCACATCTGCCTGCCACGCCGCTGCCAGTCCCACAAACCCAGCTCAAGCCCAATTTTCTCCTCTCTTCCGTAGCCAAAATGCCCTTTTCCTGGGAGCTGGTGGCAGGACAAGGCTGCCGAGTGGGGATTTGCAGGCAGGGCTGTTGTGTCGTGGGGACAATGCGGCGTGTTTGTTTGCTACAGCTAAAATGGCAGTTCTTAAGGGGGAAAAAAAAAGAAAGAGAGAGAAGTGTTTCTGCACATCCAGTCACTGCATCTTTTGATTAAATGAGATTTTGCTGTCGAACGGGGGAGCTGGGGACCACGAGCTCCCGAGCCTGCAATTTCCAGCACAGCCAAATGGGGGGAAAAAAGCTTCTGAACCACCCCTAAGCCTGGAAAATGCTGTTTAAAGAATGGATTGGAGCAGTGGATTGCAGTCATCAGCACGGAGGCTGGGGGGATGCTGAGCAAGGCCAGCAGGGTCCCAGCTTGGCCGGGAAGCATCCCAGGAGCTGTTGCAAATGCATTGGGAGGTGGTAGGGTATGGAAGGGAGGTGAGCAGCAACCAGGGACAGGGGCTTTAAAGACCCTGAGGCTCTTAGAAACGCTGGTTGGTGTTGCAGTTGGTTACAACAGGCTGCTGCTCCTGATGCCATTGCCTTTAACACCATTGCATCTAACACCATTGCCCTTAACACCATTGCATCTAACACCATTGCCCTTAACACCACTGCATGTAATAGATGCTGTAGCATCTAACACTGTTGCATTTAACGCCGTTGCATCTAACGCCATTGCCCCTAACGCTGTTGCATTTAATGCCGTTGCCCCTAACACCGTTGCATTTAAAGCCCTTACCCTCAAAGCCGCACCAATTAAACCCATTGCAATTAAAGCCCTTGCATGTCAAACCGGGCCAATTAAACCCATCGCAGTGGGACCAACTTCTCCCACCAGCTGAGCATTCCCTGGTTGGAATGCCGTCAGGAAGGCAGCAGGACCCGGTGCCTGGCCTGTCCCCGTGCTCCTCGCTGCAGCGCCTGGCTCGGCGCACGCTGCCTGCCCGCACATGGCTTATTTTAGGTTTACAAACATGACGGCCCCGTGCACGCGCCGCTTCCCCCCTCCTTCCCCGTGAGTCATCAACCCCGTCACCGGGCCGGGGAAGCCGGAGGCGGCGTTGGCGCTTCCCCCCACGGTGCTCATGACCCCAGCGTGGGGGGAAAAGAACCAGCGAAATTCCATGGTGTGGGGGTTATTTCCCACTTCTTTTCACCATTCCCATTTAGCGAGCGAGATGGGGAGGATGCGGGTGGCGACCGCGGCTCGTGCGTGGTCCATGATGGGGTGTTTTGGTGAGGACTGTGGCACCGGTCACAGGATGGGAGAGCTGGAACGCTGCTGGTTTCCTTGCCCGGCCTTACCTTGCGTTTTGGTAGCCATGGGTTCAAGGCAGTGCTGAGTGTTGGGGATGGGTGAGGGTTTTTAGGGGGGGAAAGGCTGGAGAGACCCCCAAATGTGGTCAGAGGAGCCGGTTAAAGCCTCAACGTGCAGCTCCGGTGAGCGTGGAGGTGCCGAAGCCCCCGCGGCTGAGCTCACCACGGAGCCGGTTGGCGTCGGGGCTGTGATGACTCAGCAGTGCCGGTGCTGACTCAGCAGCAGGGGAGGCAGCCGGGAATAAGGGGGAGCTTTAAATTTTGGGTGAGAAAAAGGTGGTTTTCGTTGTCCAGCGTGCTGCTAACACGGTTTTCCTGTGGCTGAGCCTGTGCCCGTGCTGCTGGCACATGTTTTGTCCTTGGAGAAGGGGTTTCATCCACCGGGGTTGTGTCTCCCACCTGCTGTGAGATGCTTTTCCCCACGGGGGACAGGTTGTGGTGGTGAAACCAGATCCGGGTTTGGCAGAGCCGGCGTTTTCCCTGCTCCCAGACGGGGCAGGGCTGGGCTCCCACTCATCTCCTGGCTCCTGCCCCGCGGGCATCGCGCCGCCAACTTGCCCGCGCTTGTCGGATGGGAGGGCGGCAGCGTGCACGGTTCTCCTCCTCCTCCTCTTCATCCTCCTCCTCCTCCTGTGCTGGAAGGCCGGGCTGTGCGGCACGGAGCGGTGCAAGGAGCCCCAACATCCCGGGAAAGGGGGGCACACCGCAGCATCCCCCAGGTACGACGGGACAGGGATGGGCTGGAGGGAAGCTCAGCACCCATGGGTGCTGGGTGGCACATCACCCGCTTGCACCCAGGGCGCCATCAGGGTGCCCACTGGGGAGAAAAGCCTTGGAAATCGAGACGCAGTGTGATTAGTGCATGGGTGTAGGGTGGCTTTTCTTCTTGTTCCCAAATCCTGGCATTTCCCCCCTGATTTGCAGGACAGAGCAATCGGTGGGGTGAAAATGGCTTAGGAGGGGCCAGGAAGGGCCCAAACCTGATCCTGTGGGAGATGCTGGCTGGAAATTCCAGCCCAGCCCCATGGGGGTGGCTGTGGTAGGACAGTGAATGCTGCCGGGTGAGAGGCGAGGCCCCAGGCCTTCCTCCTACAGCCCATGTGCTTCTCCTTCTTTCTTCCAGTCCAGGTGGATCCTTTTTCCTTCCCTTCATGTTCCCTTCCTCCATGTCCCCTTTCTTCTGTTTCCCTTCCTCCCCATATTCCTCTCTTTCCCCATTCTCTTTCTCCATTTCTCCCATTTTTACTTTCTCTCATTTCTCTCCATCCACTTCTTCCCCATTTCCATTTTTCCCGTCCCCTTCTTCCTCTTTTTCCTTCCCTTTGTCCTTCCCCTTGTGCTTTGCCTTATTCTTCCCCTTCCACCCCTGCGCCTTCCTATTCCCCCCTATCCCCTTTTTCCCTTTCCCTTTCTTCGTCAGACTCTTCCCCTTTCCCTTCACCTTCCCATTCCTCTTCCCATTCTTCACCATATTCCCCTTCCCATTATTCCCCTTCGTCTTCACATTCTTCCCCTTATTCCCCTTCCCTTATTCACCTTCCCTTTCCCATTCTTCCCCTTCGTGTTCCTCCCTATCCCCTTCTTCCTCTTCCCTTTCTTCCTTTTCCCTTTCCCCTTCCTCCCATCCCCTCCTTCCTTCTCTTTCCCCATGGACAGAGCCACCGCTCCCCACCAGCGGGTGATTTGGCTTTGCCAGCGGGCCCCGGCGCCAATCTGGTAGCGGAGCGGCGGCACGAGAGGCTCCAGCTGTGTTTGAGGACAGAAACGCTCCAAGAAACTAAAATAGCACCGCGGTTTTTTGCCTTTCCTCCTTCTTTTCCCTTTCCAGAGCCCAGCTCCCTCCCTGTCCGGCCGGAGCCGGCAGCCTGACGCGGCTCTGTGCCGTGCCAAGCCTTTCCCCTTGCCCTGTGCCAACTGGCGGCTCCGGCTCGGCTCTGCGCCGCACTGGGAAGGAGCGCTGTAGTGGGAACACACGCCGTGGCTTGGCTGCGGCAGCGTGCTTCCCAAAGGCTGCTCCAGTGGGAGCATCCGCTGGGGCATCGCTCATGTGGCCCCAGCGCTGAGCATCCCTGCTCCAAGCATTCCTTCCCTGAGCATCCCAAGCCTGGATGTCTTCAACTGAACATCCCTGCTCTGAGCATCCCAGTCGTGAACATCCCTATGCTGGCATCCCAACCTTGAGCATCCCCTCCCCAAGCATTCCCACCTCAAGCATTCCAGCTGCAGCTCCTCCAAAAGGGAAAACACTTCCCTAAATATCTTCACCTGAACATCCCCGCTCCGAGCATCTGAGCATCCCCATTCCAAGCATCCCAACCCTGAGCATTCCCTCCTCAAATATTCCCACTTCAAGCATCCCAGCTATGGCCCCTTCAAAAGGGAAAACCCTTTCCCTGGCGGAAATGAGGAGGATGGAGATGGAAACAAATTTTCCACCTGGAAAAAAATCCCACCTCTCACTGAGAAGCTCCCAGCATTGGCTGGAGCTGGGAATGGGACTAGAATCACGTTCAACTGGTTCATTGTATCCCGCTGGGAAGGAAAAGGGGGTGAAATAGTGGCCTTGGAGAGGGGTTATGGATACAGGGGGTCCCCAAAAGCGCTCCCAGGGTTCGTGTGAAGCAAATCTGGGCTTCCCACTGCGCAAATCAGCTCAGCTCCCTCAGCATCGGCGCTATTCCGGCTTTTCTCCGGGCTAAATGAGGACAGGAGTGAGCAGCTCAGACCCAGCGCTGGGGTCAGCTGGGGCCATGGAAACAGCTTGGAAAACAAGGCGGGAGAAGCAGCCGCGGCTGCCCGCGGCGCCGGGAAGCAGCGGGACCATGAGCCGGCGCGGTGGGTACCCCGGCCGGGGGGAGCCGGGGGCTACTGTTGGGGTCAGCGCTTGGGCTTCCCAGACTTCCTTTAATTCCCATTTTGGGGGGTGTTGAGCATGGATTTAGATTCTTTCACCTTTTGGCTCCACTCCGGCGTCCCCCTTGCCAGTACCTGGGGACCGTGGCTGTGGTTTGGAACTGGGATGGGTGTTTTCCACCTCTTTGGGTCTGATGCGGTGATGCGGTGCCCCCCACCACCGGGCTGTGTGTGTGATTCCAGCAGCATTCCCTTCCCCAGCAAAGCCCTTTGGTTTGTTATTGTAGGCTCTGCTGCTCTCAGGGATGCTCCGTGCTTCCCCCCAACCCACGATCCCAACGGAGGATCCCCGGGGTTCTTTCCAGAGGAGGAAAACCACAAGGCGAGTGCCGGGGCTGGCCGGGCTCCACCGGCGCGGCGCGGGGCCGGCAGCCAAACTGCCTCTTGCCTCTTGGCCGGCCCGTGCCGCCGGCTGGCAGCGGCACCACTGACCTCCCGAGCACCCCGCCGTGCCCTCACCGCAGCCCCAGCACGCAGTGGGGCGGGTGTTCCCCCCCTGCAGCTGCCCAGATGCCATTGGGATGGGTTCGGCATTCCCAATGGTGTGTTCCCGATGAAATGCTCCTCCCAAATTCAGTGCTTTTAATGAAATTGAGTGTTTTTAGCAGCGGGGTGACACCGTGCGGTGTGTCCCAAACCGCTCGGCATGCACTGGGTTGCTCTGTGCTCTGTAGCTGAACCATTTGGCTGCTGCCAAAGGGTTTAATAAACCCTGGAAATGCTTGCACAAGGGAATTTTTGGCATCCTGGCAGGGTCATCGGCTGGTTTTGGAGCATGAGGGATTTAAAACCTGTTCCCCTGTTGGCTTTGGGCTCTGGGGGAGGCAGGATGGATGGATGGATGGATGGATGGATGGAAGGATGGCCATCCTCTTATCCCCTGTTCGATGTGTGTAGCACTGTTGGGTATCCAGGGTTGCTGTGTATAGGGACTGGGTTGTTGGACGTATAGGTGTGTGTATACATATATACAGGGTTGCTGGGTAGATAGGATTTGGGATTTAGGGTTATTGGATGTGTAGGTCACTGGGTGTGTATATATATATATATATATATATAGCATTGCTGAACAGACAGGATTTGGGATTTAGGCTTGTGGAGTGTTTAGGGTTGCTGGATATGTTGGTCTGCTGGATATATGGGATTGCAGGATATGTGTGTTGCTGTGGATATAACAAGTTGTTGGGTATATAGGATTATGCACATGGGGATATGAAGGTTGTTGGATGTATAAGATTGCTGGTTCTATAGGGCTGCTGGATATATAGGGCTGTTGAATATATAAGATTGGTAGATATATAGGTTGCTGGGTATGTAGGGCTGTTGACTAGGTAAGATTCATGGATATATATATATAGGTTGCTGGGTATATAGGGTTGCTGGATATATAAGACTGGTGGTATATAGGTTGCTGAGTATATGGGGCTGTTGAATATATAAGATTGATGGATATATAGGTTGCTGGGTATATAGGGCTGTTGACTAGGTAAGATTCATGGATATATATGTAGGTTGCTGGGTATATAGGGTTGCTGGATATATAATATAGGTTGCTGAGTATATGGGGCTGTTGAATATATAAGATTGGTGGATATATAGGTTGATGGGTATAGAGGGGTGTTGACTATATAAGATTCCTGGTTATGTATATAGGTTGCTGGGTATATATGTGTATGGATATATATATAGGGCTGCTGGCTGTCCAGGACTGTTAGATACAAGCTTGCTGAACATGCAGGCAGCTGGGTGCACATGTCACTGTATCCCAAGGCCACCAGCACGTATAGGGCAGAGGGATCTCTAGGGTCACCATCATCAGGAGCTGCCGTTCTTTCTGGCACTACATCCACCCCTCCCTGCCAGCTCAGGGGCCCGGGTCCCCCCTATAACCCCCCATGGGGTGTTGAGGTGTCTCTGTGGGGCCCATGCAGCGCCGTGGGGCCCCTGTCCGTGGGTCCGTCCGTCCCTACGTGCGCACGGCGCTGGGGCTAATGGCTTCTCCAGCTGGTTTTGCAGGGGGCGGGGAGGGCCGAGGCTCCAACAACTCCGTTCTCCTTCCCTCCCAACATGGTCCCGCTCCATCCTCGCCTCCCACCCTGCACACGTAAGTGCTGCCCGCTCAGAGCCATGCCCGGATCCGGCACCGTTCCCCCTGCTCCGGCACTCACCGGGTTATAAACGGCTCCGGATCACTCCCAGGGAGCACAGCCCAGGCTGGAATCCCTCCAAGCCGGGCTCTGCGTGTGTGGTTGTGTTTTTTGCCTTCCTTCCTTCTGTTTAAGGCATTTAAAACTGGGGGGGGGGAGGGGTGGGGAAATAAATAAAGAAGGAAAAAAAAAAGAGATTTAAAACCCAAATGTTTTCATCCTCAGGGGGATTTATCCCCATTTATAGCGTGCAGAAGGGACCGTGCAGGAGCGGAGCAGCTGAGCTAACCCAAACCTTCCTTTCTCTTTAGTTTATATCCCTCCCCCCTTCCTCAGCTTTTATTCTTTCATGGGATAAAGGGAAGGAGGTTTGGGCAGGGAGCCCTTTTTCCAGGGCAAGGAGGGATAGGTGCCCATGGCAGTGATTTGGGGGTTTCTGTGGATGCTGCTGGAATGAGTCGCGATAGGGAAGGGGATGGATTTTTGGGGAGAAGCCCTGAGGTCTTTCCATGTTCCAGCCTGTGGGGCTGGGAACAAGAGGAGCTGGATGAGAGAGCCAGGAAAAAAGGAATTTTTTATATATATATATATAAAAAGGAATTTTATATGTATATATATAATTTCTTTTCCCCACTGATTTGAGGAAGGTTGGAGCTTTCAGATTAACCCTTTAGGAGCATCACAGGATGCTTGCTCCTGCCTCATCTTCCTGCTGGGTTGATACCCTGCTTTATGGGATGGAGCAGCCCAAAGTGCCACCCTGGCCCAGCAAGCTCATTTTTGGGGCTTCCCCTGCCCTTACCCAGCAGGTTCCCCCTCCTTGGGTAGACCCTTGGGGCTGGTGCCCACTCCCCACTCAGAGCAAAACAGGTTTGTCATCGTTTCCCTGGGCTGGCATCACCGTTGCGATGCTGAGGATGCTTCGGGGCATGGTCTTGGAGGGGGCTCAGGGCTTTTATCTCCCTGCCACCATGCTCTGCTGGGGAAAAACCCTTCTGGCTGGTGAGGAGGAGGAAGAGGACAGCGTAGGAAGGACGGGTGAGGCTGTTTCTTCCTTGCTTTGCAAAGGAGCGTGGAGGCGGCGTGTTGTCCCCACCCTGCCCGAGCTGCTGTTTCACCAGCGCACCAAGCACTTGCTCCCCAGACCTGATGGACCGGTCCCATCGCTCCCGGCTCTGGGATACTGCAAAGGGACTGGAGCCCCTCTGAAGCCCCAGCAGCATCAGGGTGAGCCCTGTGCTGAAGCAGGGATGCACTGCGTTGATGCTGTGCTCCACTGGGAGCTTTCACCCCTTGGGAAAGGGGATTTTTGGGACAGAATCGTGCTGGGAGTGGTTCTGCCCTGGTTTCACCGCAGTCAGCACTGTGCTTATCTCTGGTGGAGAAACCTCACCTCGAAGGATGCCTGTGCCAAAGCCATGGGGCTGGTGGCTGAAGGGTTAAACCCTCACCCCTGTCCCACTGAACACAGAGCAGTGACCTGGGCTCAGGGCTGCAGCTCCTTCCCATGAGCGAGCGGCTGCTGGCACTGGCCGGAGGCAGGAAGCTCTGCCCGCAGCTCTGTTGTGTTTTTCCCAGTGAACTCTGCTGTATTTTTAGCTCTCAGGAAGCTCCCCCTTGGTTATCAGCAAGCTGCTAAATACACAACGAGCACCCCTGGCTGCCGCAGCACCGAAACCCCTGCTGCTGAGCCACGGAGCACAGAAAGACCCTCCCATCCCTGGCAGAACCCCCCGAGACCAGGCACAGGTCTGGGTGCCACCACCTCGGATGTCTCCAATGGGTTTGGTCTCCTCTTGGCACGCAGCCGGTGCTGTGGACGCCAGGGCTGCGGCTCGGCGTTGCCCGGGGCCCTGTGTTGATACAGACACCGGGTTATTCGAGGTGAAACGTCCCCTGGCACCGGCACAGCCAGCTCAGCAGCTTCCTGCCGTGCCACTGCCCTGGTGCGGGCCTGCTGCTCCCGGCCAGGATGTTTGCTTCAGGCTTGGGTCCAAGCAAAAACCCCCCTTTCCTCCCCGCACCGCTTCCTTCGCTGGTGCGAGCTGTGGCACCGGGGCTGGGGATGCCCTCCCTGTCCCACATCCTGCCCACGGCGGGTGTGGAAATCCCAAACTGGCCCATGAGCAATTGCGAGAGCAGGAGCTGGGGTGGGATGTGGGTGGTGGGGTGGAAACTGTCCGTCCACCCCCTGAGCCGCGCTGCTCCTTGCGCAGCCCAGCAGAACCCACGTGGCTGTGGCTCGTGTGGCTCATCTGTGTCTTCATCACCTGCATGTGAGAGAAAGAGATGGGGAAAGGGGGAATGGAAAATAGGATCCCAGAATCCCAGCCTGGTTTGGGTTGGAAGGGAGCTTAAAGCTCCTCCAGCTCCAACCCCTGCCACGGGCAGGGACCCCTTCCACTGGAGCAGCTTGCTCCAAGCCCCTGTGTCCAACCTGGCCTTGAACACTGCCAGGGATGGGGCAGCCACAGCTTCTCTGGGCACCCTGTGCTAGCGCCTCAGCACCCTCACAGGGAAGAGCTTCTGCCTTATCTCCAACCTGAACTCCCCCTGTTTCAGTCTGAACCCATCAACCCTGGTCCTATTGCTGCAGTCCCTGATGCAGAGTCCCTCTCCAGCATCCTTGTAGGCCCCCAGTAAGCCAAGAGAGAGAACTAGGGTGAGGGCTGAGAGAGCTGGGGTTGTCTGGAGAAGAGAAGGCTCAGGGGGCACCTGATCGCTGCCTACAACTGCCTGACAGGAGGATGGAGCCAGGAGGGCTGGGCTCTGCTCCCAAGGAACAAGGGATGGGACAAGAGGAACCGGCCTCAAGCTGCACCAGGGCAGGTTTAGATGGAGCTGGGGAACAATTCCTGCCCCAGAGAGTGCTCAGACATTGGAACAGGCTGCCCAGGGCAGGGCTGCAGGCACCGTCCCTGCAAGTGTTCACACACTGTGGAGACGAGGCCTCAGTGCCATGGGTTAGTGGCGGCCTTGGCAGTGCTGGGCAATGGTTGGACTGGATGAGCTTAAAGCTCTTTTCCAACGTGGTTGATTCCATGATTCTATAGGGCTGCTGGCTCTTGGGTCATGGCAGGGGATGCTCACGTCTCTCCTCTCTCCCTTCTCACAGACAGGTTCGGCGGGCGACCCGGTTGATGGACCCAGCAGAAGCCAAATGGAAGAAGGGCCAATTAATTATGTGGAAGAAAGGCGGCTGAAGGAGGGCAGCGGGCTCAGCCTGGCCAATGGGGCCCGGCCGGAGGCGGGGGGCCCGGCACTGATGGAGCCGAGCAGCTGGTCCCCGGGCCAGCTGCCTGCCACGGGGAAAGCCCACTTGGAAGACGTCAGGAACCTGGTGGCCTTTTCGGCTGTGGCTGAAGCCGTTTCCTCCTACCGCCTGCCAGCCCCGGCATCGCCGTCGCTGCTGTATGAGAAGTTTGACTCGGAGATGAGCCGGGGCGGGCTGAGCACTGCGGATGGGGTCCCACGAGGGGAGGACCTGCACGCCCTGAAGGCTGCCTTGGCTTTGGCTAAACACGGTGTGAAGCCCCCCAACTGCAACTGCGACGGCCCCGAGTGCCCCGACTACCTGGAATGGCTGGAGCAGAAGATCAAGATGGCTCTCGGCGAAGAGCCGGCCTCGCCGCGGCCTCCCGTCACCGCCAACCCCCTGCCACCCCCCCAGGAAGGTGCTATTGACCCCCAGCCGGTGCCTGAGCCCGCCGAGCCGTGCCCGCCCGACGGCCTCCCCTTCTCTCAGAGCGCGTTGACCATCGCCAAGGAGAAGAACATCAGCCTGCAGACCGCCATAGCCATCGAAGCCCTCACGCAGCTCTCAGCCGCTCTCCCCCAGCCCGCCGGCGATGGCCAGCCCCCCCCGCCACCACCACCGCCGCCCCCCGCTGCCCCCTTCGGCCCCGGCCCCCTCGCCCCATCGGGGGCCGTGTGGCAGCAAGGGGATGAGCCCCGTTACCCACCGGAGCCGGGAGCGGCGCCGGAGCCGTTCTTTGGTGCAGCACCGCCGCGGGGGGGCTTTGCAGCAACGTGGGGGCTGGAAGCCGAGGGGGCAGCGGGGGCTGGAGACCCCATGGCAGAGCTGGAGCAGCTACTGGGGAACGCTGATGACTACATCAAGGCAGCTTTCAAGAGACCTGAAGCAATAGCCAGCAAAGCGACGGCGCCTCAAACTGAGCCCCCCGAACGAGCACCCGCTAAAGAAGCGCCACCGAGTGGCCCCCGTTTGCCACTGGCACCCCCAGAGCCCGACCTGCACAAGAAGACGCAGCTGGTCCTGCAGCAACATCTCCATCACAAGCGCAGCCTCTTCCTTGAGCAAAGCCTGGCAGCAGCGACGGCGCCAGCCCCGGATCGGCCGAGCGGATGGTGGGCTCCCGGCGCCCCATCCGCGCCCCCCAAGCCCTTTGAAAAGCAGCCCAAAGAGAAGAAGAAGAAAACACCACCCGAAAAGCCCCCCCCGGCCAAACCGCTCCGTAAGCAAGTGCAGATCAAGAAGGCGAAGCAGAAGGACTCGCAGCCGCTCTTCCTGCCCCTCTGGCAGATCAGCCTGGAGGGCTTTCGGGCGCCCGCCGAACCCCCTGCCGAAGAGATGCAAACCGAACCGCCGCTGGCCTGCCCGCCTCAGCCTCTTGCACTACCCCCGCCCGCCGCTTGCCCCCCGCCACCAAACCCCCTGGATGGCTGCCCCCCGGCTCCCGACTCTCAGGAAAGGGGTGCCCCCGGGGGGGGCCCCCAAATTCACCCTGCGCCGGCGGGTTCAACCAGCTCGGAGGAGGCCCCGGCCCCGGCCCCCATCATGGTGGATGACAAGCTGGAAGAGCTCATCCGGCAATTTGAAGCTGAATTTGGGGAGAATTTCAACCTGCAGCCCCCCGAAACACCCGCCACGCTCACCACCGCGGCGGCCGAGGTGCCGGGGGGGTCGGTGCCAGCCCCACAAGTGCCCCCCAACGCCACCACCGCCGTTTCAAGCAGCACTCCCCAAGCCGGACCCAAAAGCTTTTCGTTCTCACCGGGGAAGGGTCCGCTTTCGGAGCCCCCTTTCACCGCCCGGTCCCCCAAACAGATCAAAATCGAATCTTCTGGTGCTATCACCGTGGTGTCCACCACGTGCTTTTACTCCGAGGAAAGCCAAAACCCGGACGTGGATGACACCGATGGGACCCCCACCAAGGACGAGGTGCCGCTGACACCGACCCTTAGCGGCTTCTTGGAGTCGCCGCTCAAGTACCTGGACACGCCGACCAAAAGCCTCCTGGACACGCCAGCCAAGAGGGCACAAGCGGAATTCCCAACCTGTGACTGTGTTGGTGAGTGACCGGTCGTGCTGGGGGGGTGCCAGGGTGGTGATGGGCCCCAAGGGGGCATTTCTGGGGGGATGCTGTGCTTGCACGATGGAGCTCACTTTGGCTTAGAACTGTAGAAGCAGTTGGGTTAGAAAAGACCAGAGGAGGCCACGGAGCTGCTGCGAGGGCTGGAGCAGCTCTGCTCTGGAGCCAGGCTGAGAGAGCTGGGCTGGGGCAGCCTGGAGAAGAGAAGGCTCCTGAAGGGGAGACCTTAGAGCAGCTCCAGTGCCTAAAGGGGCTGCAGGGAACCTGGAGAGGGGCTTGGGAAAGGGCCTGTAGGGACAGGCCAAGGGGAATGGCTTGAACCTGCCCGAGGGGAGACTGAGCTGAGCTCTGAGGCAGAAGCTCTTCCCTGTGAGGGTGCTGAGGCGCTGGCACAGGGTGCCCAGAGAAGCTGTGGCTGCCCCATCCCTGGCAGTGCTCAAGGCCAGGTTGGACACAGGGGCTTGGAGCAAGCTGCTCCAGTGAAAGGGGTCCCTGCCCGTGGCAGGGGTTGGAGCTGGGTGAGCTTTAAGGTCCCTTCCAACCCAAACCATTCTAGGATTGAGGGATTCTATAAATAAGCACCAAAGCCCTGGTTTTTTTTGTGTGTGTGTTGGCATCTGTTACACTTTGCAGCAAGGTCCTTGCAGTTCACCTCCATCCAGCCGCGGGCAGCTGGATCTTTCCTCCCCAAAGTACAGCCACTCTCCCCTGGGAGGAGCAGGGTGAAGATTTGGGGCATCCAGCCTCGGGCTAACCACAGGGTGCCATTTAGTTGTGGGGCTGATGATTGTTTTCATATAGATGGCAGCAGGAATTACCCTGAAGGGCACCAAGTGAATGAAAAGGCTTTTCTGGAGCTGCTCACACTCTGGAGTGTCTCCCTGCAGTGCCAGGATTCAGGTTGCTTTTCCCTTTGCAGCGTGGTTTAGGGGCTGGAACAGGGGGGATTCTCTCTCTGTTTTCCTAAGGAAAAGCTGTGGGAGGAAGCAGTTAAGTGGGAGCCAAGCTTTGGTGCTTTATGAGGTGACTGTGCTGTTAGAGGCTGTGCTAACCCAACCTTGGCTGCAGGCCGTATTGATCCCTGTCTGGGCAGCTGCAGCCCAGCTGAGCCCAGCTTTCTTCTCAGCCTGGATCCCAGCCAGTGAGACATGATGGGAATGGAAATCAGGGCAGTGAGAGCAGAGGGGTGGAAGGACACATCAGGCAGATCCGCACTGGGTGCATCCCACACAGCGGTGTTGGAGCATCCCTGCGCATCCGGGATTGACCCCTGGGCTTCCGTGGATGCTGGGAGCATCCTTTGCTTCCCATGTTAGCACCTTCCCTCCCTAAAAGCTCCGAGGGGTTTGCTGCTGTGGGGGTGCTACTGGAGGGGGTGAGGGTTGTTGATTGCAGGACTGTACCCCCAGCATCCTTCTCCTGTATCTTAGCATCCTTCTATAGCCCAATGTCCTTCTGTAGCTCCAGCATCCTTCTCCTATAGCTCCAGCATCCTTCTCCTGTAGCCCCAGCATCCTTCTCCTATAACTCCAACATCCTTCTCCTATAGCTCCATCATCCTTCTCCTGTAGCTCCAGGATCTTTCTCCTATAGCCCAGCATCTTTCTATAGCCCAACATCCTTCTCCTGTAGCTCCAGCATCCTTCTGCTATAAGCCAACATCCTTCTGTAGCCCCAGCATCCTTCTCCTGTAGCTCCAGCATCCTTCTGCTATAAGCCAACATCCTTCTGTAGCCCCAGCATCCTTCTCCTGTAGCTCCAGCATTCTTCCTGGTACAAATCCTCTGTGCCGGGATGGAGCCATGGTTACTACCAGGAAGCTTGGAGGGGCTGTGGCTGCCCAGGGAGGTTTCCATGTCTGCAGAGGGGATGTGTGCTGATGGGTGCAGGTCTGAGCACCCATCTCCTTGTTCCTCAGCAGCATTTTAGTGTCTTCCAGAGCAGAAAACGAAGAAGATCCATCAGGCTGCTTAGTGAACCCCATATGTGTCTTCCCTAATGCTCTTACGGGGAGGTGCCACTGAGGAACCCTTGATTTTTGGTGCAGAAGTGCTTGGTTTGAGGGAATTTGGGGTTTGGCATCTCTTGGGGCAGATCGCAGAGGTGCAAATCCCAAAATCCCTGTTCCCCTTCGTGTCTGTGCAGAGCAAATTGTGGAGAAGGACGAGGGGCCCTATTACACCCACCTGGGCTCGGGGCCCACTGTGGCATCCATCAGGGAGCTCATGGAGGAACGGTAAGGAACCAGGGGGCCCGAAAGGAAAGGGGGGACTGATGAAGGTGAATGGTGTTTGTGTGGATGAGCAGGGGCTCTGAGGGTGTGTGGGGTCCTGGGGGGTCTTTTGAGGGCGAGAGGCATCCTGTGAGGGTGAGTGGAAGGGTCCATTGAGGGTAAGTGGGGTCCCATGATGTGAGGGGGGAACTCGTGAGCATGGGGATGGGTGAGCAAGGCTGATGCCCATTCCCTGGCAGGTACGGAGAGAAGGGCAAGGCCATCCGCATCGAGAAGGTCATCTACACAGGGAAGGAGGGGAAGAGCTCCCGGGGCTGCCCCATCGCCAAGTGGGTGAGTACCTGTGCCTTGGATCTTGTCCCCCCTTGGCAGTGCCCACTGAATGACATGTGCATGCCTGCAGCCCTTGGGCTGGGTACGACCCCCAGCCTGGCAGCCCAAACCCCATAGGGGTGAATGCACCCGTGGGAGCTCCAACAACTCTGCTCACCCAAATTCCCACTGCGGAAAGCAGCCAGGACCCACTTTTGGGGTTCTCCCCATAGAATCAACCAGGTCGGAAAAGACCTTTAAGTTCATCAGGTCCAACCATTCCCCAGCACTGCCAAGGCCACCACTGACCCATGGCTCTGAGGGCCTTAGGCTATATGGTTCATGACGTATGACTCCAGCATTGCCCTGAGCAGCCTTTTCCAATGCCTGAGCACCCTCGGGGGAAGGAATTGTTCCTCACCTCCATCTAAACCTCCCCTGGTGCAGCTTGAGGCCATTGCACCAGGCCTTGTTTGCCGTTGGAGTGGTCTGACCCCTCTGTTTTCCAGGTGATCCGGAGACACAACCAAGAGGAGAAGCTGCTGTGCCTGGTGCGGCACCGGGCCGGCCACCACTGCCAGAACGCCGTCATCATCATCCTGATCCTGGCCTGGGAGGGCATTCCCCGCACGCTGGGGGACACCCTGTACCAGGAGCTCACCGACACCCTCACCAAGTACGGGAACCCCACCAGCCGCCGCTGCGGCTTGAACGACGAGTAAGTCCCAGCACACCGTTAGTCCTGTTGGGAATGGGATGGGAAGAGGATGTGGGAGATTTGGGGGTTCCCTCCCAGTTTTCAGAGCTGCCATCACCGCGCTGGTGGCTGATGTTCCTCCATGGTGTCCCTCCTGCAGCCGGACCTGTGCGTGCCAAGGCAAAGACCCCAACACCTGCGGTGCTTCCTTCTCCTTCGGCTGCTCCTGGAGCATGTATTTCAATGGATGCAAATATGCCCGGAGCAAAACTCCTCGCAAGTTCAGGCTGGTGGGAGATAATCCCAAAGAGGTGGGTGACACAGGTGGGGTTGTGGGTTTGGACCTCCGTTTACCCTCAAGTTTTGCATGGGAGAGGCCAGAAAATGGGATTCCTTGTGGGATTTTTGATGAATTAGGGAGATCATAGAATCATGGAATGATTTGGGTTGGAAAGGATCTTAAGATCATCCAGTTCCAACCCTCTGCCACAGGCGGGGGCACCTTCCACTAGAGCACCTTGCTCCAGGCTCTGAGGTCTCCATGGAGCTTCTCCAGATGGGGAAATGGAAGCCAGCCTACTGAAACCAGAGAGCAGGTTTAGGTTCATGTCCTAGAACCAGACTTTTGGAGTGACAGCAAGTGCTGGTATGAGGTGGCACAAACAGCTTCTCTCTAGAAACCCCAGGGGAGGTGCCAGAGGGCTCATGGTCAAGCAAGCTGAAGCACAACAGATGCTGAGGGTGGAGGTTGAATAGCCAAAATGCCACCAAGAATTGAAGCGATGTAGTTTGTTCACTGGAGGACATCATGGGAAGGGTTGGGTGCCATGTGGAGTGCTGGGGCTGTGTCCCCAATTCCATCCCTGCTCCCAAAACCACTGCGTGACATCCTCTTCTTTTCCCTACTGCAGGAAGAGTTGCTCCGGAAAAGCTTTCAGGACTTGGCCACTGAGGTTGCTCCACTTTACAAGAGGCTGGCACCACAAGCCTACCAAAACCAGGTACTGGCGCATCCCCTTTGGAACACATGACCCTGCCAGCAGGCACGTAGGAGATGCTGGATAACCAAAGCCTTCTCCTCCTTCTCGCAGGTTACCAACGAGGATGTGGCGATTGACTGCCGGCTGGGCTTGAAGGAGGGGAGGCCGTTCTCGGGAGTGACAGCCTGCATGGACTTCTGTGCTCACGCTCACAAGGATCAGCATAACCTCTACAACGGCTGCACAGTGGTAAGCAGGGGGCTGGTGGGGCTTTTGGGGGTGCTCCCCCTTGTGTTTGGGATGCTGTTGGGTGCTGTTCAGCCTGGAGAAGAGAAGCTGCACCTCAGAGCAGCTTCCAGTGTCTGAAGAGGGTTGCAAGGATGCTGAAGAGGGACTCTTCATCAGGGACTGTAGGGATAGGACAAGGGGTGATGGGTTCAGACTGAAACAGGGGAAGTTCAGGTTGGAGATAAGGCAGAAGCTCTTCCCTGTGAGGGTGCTGAGGCGCTGGCACAGGGTGCCCAGAGAAGCTGTGGCTGCCCCATCCCTGGCAGTGCTCAAGGGCAGGTTGGACACAGGGGCTTGGAGCAAGCTGCTCCAGTGGAAGGGGTCCCTGGCCATGGTAGGGGGTTGAAATTGGATGATCTTAAGCTCGTTTTCAACCCAAACCATTCCATGATTCATTCTATGATTCATTCTGTGATTCATTCTATGATTCATTCTATGATTCCATGCTCCTTTTTGAGCCACTTGGCTGTCCCCAGTTGTCATCCCTGCATGACTCCAGTGGCTGCTCCTCAGTGGTTTTACACCTCAGATGAAACCGTTCAGGTCTGTGGGGTCCTGAAGCCACCCCAGCTGGACTAAACCACTGTGCTAGCAAGGACCATGTGTTTGGTTTTCTCTGACCCACCCTGCAGGAGGTTCCCAAATGCCTGCTGGGGACCAGTGTAGGCTTGAGCAGGAGGATGCCAGGTTGGGTGGCTTCACACTGATGGTGTCCCATGTGTCCCGCAGGTCTGCACGCTGACAAAGGAAGACAATCGCGTGGTGGGGAAGATCCCTGAAGATGAGCAGCTGCACGTCCTCCCCCTCTACAAGATGTCCAGCACGGATGAGTTTGGCAGCGAGGAGAACCAAAACGCCAAGGTGGGGAGCGGGGCCATCCAGGTGCTCACATCCTTCCCCCGTGAGGTCCGCAAGCTGCCCGAGCCCGCCAAGTCCTGCCGGCAGAGGCAGCTGGAGGCGAGGAAAGCCGCTGCAGAGAAGAAGAAGCTGCAGAAAGAGAAGCTGATGACACCAGAGAAGATCAAGCAAGAGGCACTTGAGCTGCCCACGCTCCAGCAGAACGCAGGTAATGGGGGCAGAGGCGAAGGTCCACCACCCTGAGCTGTCTGGACCACACATGAGGCGATGAGGATATGGTTGGGTGCTGCCATGGGGTGGTGGTTGTTGAGCTCTTGGCATGTTGGGGTGCAGGGTGGCGTTTCTGTTGTGTCTGCCTGGGTTTTCCCCATGCTGCTGGGTCCCGCAGGTGTGAATCAGTGCCAGTGCACTGGGTGATGCTGACCTCCACGCTTGGTTGGCAGCACCGTCATCACGGGGTTTTTGAGTCCATCTGAGTTGTTGGGGTCCTTATTCCTCACCAGTGGCTTCCTGGGCTGGCAGTTCACAAGGGGCTGTGTGTGTGCTGTGCCTGCAGGTATGGCCTTGAAAAGCGGGCTGCCCCCCCAGCCACTGAAACCTTCCATCAAGGTGGAGCCACCGAGCCACTACAACGCCTTCAAGTACAATGGCAACGCGGTGGTGGAGAGCTACTCGGTGCTGGGGAGCTGCCGGCCCTCCGACCCGTACAGCATGAACAGTGTTTACTCTTACCATTCCTACTATGCACAGCCCAATCTGCCTTCCGTGAACGGGTTTCACTCCAAGTTCGCGCTTCCCTCCTTTGGGTATTACGGCTTTTCCAGCAACCACGTCTTCCCCTCACAGTTTCTCAATTACGGGGCATCCCGTAATGCCTCGGGGAGCAACTGGGTGAGCAACGGCTATGAGAAGAAGCCTGACGTCCCGGCCCTGCAGGAGAGCCTCAACCACACCTATGGGAATACCAGTTTCCCTGAGCCCATCCCGAACAGCGTCCGGAGCAAAAACCATCACCAGCGCACGTACGAGCGGGCTAACCGCTATGCCAGCCAGCAGAAGGCAGCGGCGGCCGGGGCGCACAGGACTAGCTCAGGCTCTGAGGAAGCCCAGCCGTTTGCACAGAACTGTTTCAGCAGCCGGCCGATCAAGCAGGAGCCTCCAGATCCTCCACCCGCCATCGAGCCCCTTCCCACCGCAGCCGCCATGCCCGGCACTGGTTTAACCCTGCCGACCATCCCGGCGCGCACCGCGGGGCCGGAGCAGCGGTGGAGCCCCTTCAAAGCATCCCGGGGCACGTCTTCATCCCCAGAGAGGACTAACACGGCGGAGGGCTCCTGGAGCTCCCTGGCACCGGGTTCTGGTGGGAGGGAGAAGCCCAGCGCCTTCGATGCTGCCGCGCGCTTGCCGCCGCCGCCGGGGAAGCAGTGGTCCAACGTTGTGGTGGGAGAGGCGGCGGCAGCGGCGCGGAGCTCGGGCTTGCTGCGGAAACCATGGAGCCCCTGCAAGCTGGGGGAGGCGGCGCTGTCCGGCACGGGCACCCAGAGCCTGCTGGGGCCATTGGGTTTTGGCTCATCCCTACCAGGGCTTCCGGGCTTCCCCGAGGAGCCGTGGGGCTCGGTGAAGGCGGAGGAGCGCAGGACGCCGGCGCCCAGCCCTGGGCTGCAGGAGAAGCCATGGGAAGCGGCGGTGGGTGAGAAAGGGGCTGTAGGGACCCTCCGGGAGAAGCCATGGGATCCATTTAGCCTGGAGGAGGATCTGCCGGAGAAGACGGTGAAAGAGGAGGAAGAGGAGGAGGAAGAGGAGGAGGAGGAAGAAGAAGAGGAGTGGTCGGACAGCGAGCACAACTTCCTGGATGAGAACATTGGCGGGGTGGCCGTGGCGCCGGCGCACGGCTCCATCCTCATCGAGTGCGCCCGCCGCGAGCTCCACGCCACCACCCCGCTGAAGAAACCCAACCGCTGCCACCCCACCCGCATCTCCCTGGTCTTCTACCAACACAAGAACTTGAACCAGCCCAACCACGGCCTGGCGCTGTGGGAGGCCAAGATGAAGCAGTTGGCAGAGCGGGCTCGTGCCCGGCAAGAGGAGGCGGCGCGCTTGGGTCTCCCACCGGACGCCAAAGCCTTCGCCAAGAAACGCAAGTGGGGCGGCGCGTTGGCGACCGAGGCGCCCAGCAAGGAGAGGAGGGACTCTGTCCCCACGCGGCAGGCGGTGGCCATCCCCACCAACTCTGCCATCACTGTGTCCTCCTATGCTTACACCAAGGTGACGGGCCCCTACAGCCGCTGGATCTGAGACGGAGGCAACCGCCACGGCCCCATCTTACCTCAACCCTCGGCAGCGCCGGCGCTCGGCGTTGCTTCGTGGTGCTTTCTCCTCGGGCGTGGGGGAGAAGAAAAGGATTAGGAATAAAATAGACAAAAAAAAAGAGAAGCAAAACACAAGAAGAACAGAGGAAAAAAACCCACCCAACCCACAGGAAGCAAACCCAAGGTCCAAACAGCGGAGCCGGCGCGGGCGCACGCCGTCGGAGGGCTGCGCTTGGCGAGGAGCTGGCCAGCAGAGCAAACCGTGGTAAAACCAAAAGAGGACGGTGCTGTTTGAGGCTTTTTGGGAATCTCATATTTATATCTCCATGGGTTTTTTAATCCAGCCTCGTGCAAAGGGCCGGAGGAGTCCCTAGCGTCCTTTGGCAAAGGAGAGGTTTTTAATCCCACTTAAAAATAATGCCTATTTATTGGATTTTATTTTATTTGTTACTCTGACCACAACGACGAAGCCGATCTTCGAAAGAGAAGCCAACGTGGAAAACTCAACCCAACCTTGAACACAGATCAAATCCAGCCCGCTCACCAAACCAGCTTAAAGGCAAGAGGTTACCCCCTCCAGCTCCAACACACGGGGGCTGGTGGGGGCTGGTGCTTCACCGTCAGCCAGACACGCTGAAAATCCAACCATGTTTTTGCCCAAGGACCTCAAATCACCTGTTTTTCAGCTCGAGGAGGCCTTTCTTACAGCGAGGAACGTCCCGGCACGGCGCGTCTTCGCTCAGCTCCTCGCTGCCGGCGGGATCGGCTCCGCCGGGATGGATCGAGCCGGCGTCTTTCCCAACGCCAGAGACCTCAGGACACGTCCGGGCTGGGGGCTGCCGCTGCCGGGGGCTTGGACCTGGGGGGGATCCTTTGCTGATGGTCCCAGGAACGGCGGCGGCGGCTCTAGAAGGAGCCGACAGGACAAAAAATGATCCAAAACCAGGAAACAAACCCACCCCAAGCCCAAACTGTGAATAGCTGGTGTTGCTCTTGTACATCACTGTTGCTAAAGTCTGGTGCTTTCCGTCTCCGGGGGACTTTCTCCGTGCAATCGGCTCTGGGAAGAGCGAATCCCAAGACTTGGCTGGCCAAAAACCCCGCTGGTCCGCCTTCCCTGCCGGTGCCGGTGAGCACCGCCGGGGCTCGGTGCTTTATCTCTTCCCCCCGGGTGCCATCCCTTCTTCCTACGGATCACCGTTCTTCCCGCAAAACCCCCTTTCCCCAAGGAACAACCCAACCAACGCCGACAACAACCGCGTGGTGCTTTTCGAACAATCTCAGTCGAAACCTCCCGCCCGTCGCCGATGCCGGAGCCGCGCCGGGATGGATGGATGGATGGATGGATGGATGGATGGTCTAGTGGAAGGTATCCCTGCCCATGGCAGGGGGTTGGAACTGGATGATCTTAAGGTCCTTTCCAACCCAAACCGCTCTGATTCTATGGATGGATGGATGGATGGATGGTTGGTCTAGTGGAAGGTGTCCCTGCCCATGGCAGGGGGTTGGAACTGGATGATCTTAAGGTCCTTTCCAACCCAAACCGCTCTATGATTCTATGGATGGATGGATGGATGGATGGATGGATGGGCGGGCGAGGAGCTGCCCTGTGGCTCACCGGGAGGGCGGCATGGCCGAATCCGGGTGCCGGCGTCCCCGGGGAGGTCGTTGCTTTTGCACTTTGAGGTGCCTTTTGGAGAGCCAGCGAGCCAGAGCCGACGCCGTCACCGTGCAGAAATCCCCTTGTGTTTACTGTCCCCCCTCTTCCTTCCTCGCGCACTGGCACAGATCAGCAGGATCTCGGTCGAAAGCAGCCGGGTCATTTCCGTGCTCTTGATTTTAAACCTGTAAATAGGGAAAGAATTTTTTTAAAAGCACTTTCACCTAGATTTAAAAACGAAAGCGAAACTTAAAAAGAGAGAAAAAAGCCCCCAATTCCTTCCCCCCCCCCCCCCAACTTGAAACAGTTACGTTTGAAACCAGATTCTTGTGGGAGAACTGTAAATACTGGCAGAATATTTAACATGCTTCGTCCGTCCTTCAGAATTAATCCCCTTTTTTGTTCTTAACTTTTAACCTGTAAAGTCGCGTATATTTGACAAGGAAACTCAACGAGCTATTACCGCTTTTCTTAGACATCCCCAATAGCATATCAGGATTGGAGGAGTCGAGGGCGAGTCAGACTGTAGGGATAACCCGCAGGTGATGCTGGTTCCAATGTGGATACGGTGAAAACGGGACCGGGCTGATCCCGTTGGACGGGGCCGGATTCGGGTGCCGGCCCCGGTTGGCATCGCCTTGGCCGTCGTGGCGCGGGTGCTTTGTGAGCTTCGCCTGGATGCGTTTGGAATCGGGAGGAGAAGGGGGTCCGTGTAACCTGTCTGAGTCCTGCTTCCTCGGAAGGGGTTGGTTTTGGTGCAGGGATTTGGGGGGGGGTGGGGGGTGTCGATCCGGTGGGATCAACCCCGGGGTTAAGCGGGGAGATGCCGGCGCCGCGGGTCGGGGAGCGAGAACTGCTGCAGTCTCACGTTTTTACACTACATAACGTCGAAACCTACCTCAAATCTCAGTCATGATAAAGGAGCACGCTTCAGACTCGTACGAAAACTCAAAATCTATGCACAGCTCTTTACCCCTTGCTGCTGAGAGGCTCTTTTTGCAAGCTAAAGCTTTCCCTTTCCCCGTCCCGGCGGCCGCGCTCATCCCACCCCGTTCAGGGGCACTCACTTATGGGAGGTGGGGGGGGAGGTCCATGTTTTTAATCACTTCGGGGTGCGATGGGGACCTCGTTTTGCAGCGGGTCGTGGCCGCAATGGTGCTAGAACAACGCCCGTGGTAGAAACCCTGCGGAGAGCTGGGCTTGGGGAGCCCCAACGGGCTCCTTCCATCCTACTTTGGCTCTTCCAGCCACGGTGCTTCACTTCGGGCAGGAAATGGGAAGTGTTTTGGGGTCCCCCCCCCTCTTGGGACAAGGGGAAGGAGAAGGAAAGCAGAATCCCTGAGGTGCCTCAATAGCTGATTTTTTCCTTTTAATACTGGAGTATGCTTTGTGGGCTCTATAAGGCATATTTTTATTCAGTGAAATCTTGTAATCCAAACGGTGCTAATGGTGTTTTAACAAACTATCACGCTTCTGCCTGATTCCATCTCGCTGAGGTGCTACTAAATGTACATACGAAACTCGGGAACCAAGGAAACAAAGCAAAAAGCAATGTGGTGGAGGAGGAGGTCTTAACTTTACCGGAGCGACAGCTCGAAGCGTGCCGGGAGCCACTTGGGTTTATGCAAACCGAGATCGGAGCCGTTCCCCTCCGGAGCGGGGCCGCGGTGCTGATGTGGTGCTTGGATGAGGTGCTCGGTTGAGGTGCTCAGCCACAGGTCATGGAGGTGGTGGTTGGATGCGGTGCCTGGGCTCAGCCAGGGTGTGTGAACACGGTGCTCAACAGCGGTGCTTGGACGTGGCGTGTGGACACGGTGCTCAGCCAAGCATCGTGATGCGGTGCTTGGATTGTGGTGCATGGACACGGTGCTTGGCCGGGGTAATACGGACGTGGTGCTTGGTCATGGTGCTCGGACATGGTGCTTGGTCATGGTGCTCAGGCACGGTGCTCAGCCATGCACCACAGACACGGTGCTTGGCCGTGGTGTGTCAACACAGTGCGTGGACATGGTGCTCGACCACGGTGCTTGGACATGATGCGTGGACATGGTGCTCGGGCACGGTGCTCAGCCATGCGTCATGGACGCGGTGCTTGGACGTGGTGTGTCAACGTGGTGCGTGGACACGGTGCTTGGGACGTGGTGTGTGACCACAGTGCATGGATATGGTGCTTGACCACGGTGCTCCAACGTGGTGTGTGGAAATGGTGCTTGGGCACGGTGCTTGTCCATGGACGTGGTGCGTGGACACAGTGCTCGGGCATGGTGCTTGTCTGCACACCATGAATATGGTGTATGGACACGGTGCTCACCAGGGTATAGGAACATGGTGCTCGGTGCGTGGACATGGTGCTCAGCCCCAGTGTGAGAACATGGTGCTCAGGCAAGGGATGGGAACGTGGTGCTCGGGCAGGGTGCTCAGCCTGGTGCATGGGGATGCTGTGCATGGACAGTGCACGGTGCACAGCCACGGCACAAGGGCATGGCATGTGGATGCGGTGCTCCGGCACCGTGCATGACCACGGTGCTCAGACATGGTGCTTAGATGTGGTGCTCGGGGCACGGCCGTGGTGCTTCCACAGGGGCATGGTGCATGGATGTGGTGCTTGGGCACGGTGCTCAGCCACTGTGCACAGACACAGTGCTTGGCCATGGTGCTTGGGCAGGGTGCTTGGCACCATACATGGACATAGTGGTTGAGCATTGTGCTTGGCCGTGGTGCTTGGCACCATGCATGGACACAGTGCTTGACCGTGGTGCTTGGGCACAGTGCTTGGCACCATGCATGGACATAGTGGTTGATGATGGTGCTTGGGCAGGGTGCTTGGCACCATGCATGGACATAGTGGTTGGCCATGGTGCTTGGCCATGGTGCTTGGCACCATGCATGGACACTGCTTGACCATGGTGCTTGGCCACGGTGGTTGGCACCATGCACAGACACAATGGTTGACCATGGTGCTCGGCACCATGAATGGACACGGTGCTTGACCTTGGTGCTTGACCATGGTGCTTGGCACCATGCACAGACACAATGGTTGACCATGGTCCTTGGGCACGGTGCTTGGCCATGGTGCTCACCCACCATGCACAGACACGGTGCTGGGCCATGGGCGCCCTGGCACTGCTATGGCTGATCACCGTGCCCCTCCATGGCACTCGTGCACAGCCCCTGCTCACCGCACGGTGCCACCGCACGTGGGCACCGCTCAGCACCGCGCTTGGCGCTGCCCTCACCCCATAGCTCTTCCCCATCCCCACACCGCGCTGTGCGCCCCCCGGCGCTGCGCATCCCGCTTCCGCCCGGCTCTTTCTTTTCCCCCCTTTTTCCCCCCTCTTTTTGTCCATGTTTTGGGGTTTATTGGTGCTACTTCCTTCCCCTTCGGCTTCCCGTCAGCGCTGGGGCAGCAGCTCCCCCCCGCGCCCCCCAACCAAGGCAAATACCTCAAACCCCCCCAATTCCCCGAGCGAATCCGGGGCGAATCTTTCCGAAATCAGGGATCCTTCCGCAGCGGTTTCTTCCTTAATTATTATGGGTTTTTCTCCCCCCATCCCCCCCTTCCCCCCCTTTTTTCCCTTTCCGCCCGGGTTTGTTCCTCATTTTTCCGCATCCTTCAGGGATTTCAAACCGCCGCAATTCCAGCCTCATTTTTAACCCCAGGAGCAACTTTTTGGGGGTTGATTCTTGCGTTGTTTTTTTGGGAACCCCTTGGTTTTCCCACCACAACCCCCCCCCCCAAAACCAAAACCCCATAAAGAGGTAAGAATTCCACCGCAATCCACCCATCAAGCGCCATTTCTCCTTCAGAGTCGGGAATTCCATTGGAGGCGGGGAGGGATTTGGGGAGGGGGGTGTTTGGGATCATGGAAAAGGGGAGCGGGACGGCGGCAGGCGGAAAGGGGGGGACACACGGGGGGTGTCCCGGCGGCTCCGAACCATTCACACTTGAAGATTCCTGGTCGGGACTGTGGTTACTTGAAATGAAGTTTTGATCCGGGGCGGATCGAGGACCGGTAGATTCTATCCCCATGTCTCAAGGCAATAGGATTAATGTGTATTAAACTGTAGATACTTTTAGGACAGTAAATTTATGCTGATAATTTTATTTTGTATAATTTTCCCCCTTTTTCCTCTTTATGTTTGATTTATTTCTCCCTTTTAACACCCTTTCCACCCCCACCCTCTTTTTCCCCGTGTTTTGGTAAATTTATTTTTTAGGATGCCTAAAAATGACAAGTTTTGGATCCTTCCCCTTCTTCCCCTCCCCTTAATTTTGTTGTTTTGTTTTTTTTTTCGTTTCATTGCTGGGTTTTGGTTCTTTTTTGGTTGATTTTGTAATTTGTATTTTATTCTGCGTTGCCGCGGCCGCCGGGCTGTGAAATGTATTATTCCTGATACCTTTAAAATATTGTGGGTGTTTTAATAAATTTTATATTTATTTTTTGCACTCAAAACGTTGCCCTCCCCCCCCTCCCTTCCCCTTCCCCACAGCTTTCTGTGTGTTTTTGGGATGTGGGTTTCAGGATGGGTGGGTTGGGAAGGGGACCTGGCATCCTAGAGGGGTTGGTTGGTGAGGGGAAGTTGGGGCTCTGTCTGTTAGGGAGGTGTCAGGGTGAAAACCAATGGTGGGAATAGGATGGGGATGTGGTTATGGGGGGAGTGTCGGGATGAGCATCTGGGGATGGGATGGGATGGGGAGGGAGCGAGCAGGGAGGGGGGGTAAGGGAGGTAAGGATTGGGGTCGGTGTTTTGGGGTCAGGATGGTGGCCGCTGCTCACATAGAGGAGGAGCCAGG